CAGCTGCAGATTCGAAACAGACAAGATTACACTTGGCGAGATCCAGTGCTGATCAAAACTGCGCAACGCTGATGCAGAAACCCTCACCGCATGGACAAGGTCCTTCGATCCAAGGTTGGTAGGCCTCCTCGGACAGTCTCCACAACAGAACTCCACGTTCAAGACCCCATTGGGCCTGTGTGAATCTCTTGTGGCAGGCCTGGCTGTCATTCAGAAATGGAATCGCCACAACCTGAGAGCAATTGTGGGACTCCGAATGTGGAGTTGATTGAAACCGAAAACCTGAAGTGGGCTGAGTTGGGTTGAGGGCGTTTAGTGTTCATTGTTAGTTTTTGCAGCCAGAACATTCATGATGATGATGATGATGGCGGCGGTGGTGGTGACGATGATAGTAGTCGCAAGGATATTAGTGGTGGTGGTGATGCCGGTGACGGATGATGATGGTCAGGGCCGAGCACTTCGCGCGATGTTTTGCCGTCTTTTCAAAGCTAAACCCACCCGGGGGATTACTTTGCTTCCGGGGCTCTAAAGAACCTTCCATCGAGATGTTCGCGCCGGGCACACTGTTCTGGCCTGTTTTCTCCACTTGTCTTGCAGCACATGTGTGTGCTCATTCCGTCCGAGCATCTAGTAACAGTAAAGTCTCAGTAAAGATAGCAACGTAGAGTTGTTAACCGTCAGTAGAATCCTTTCGGAATCCCACGTGCCGATGCTAAGGCACCGTTAGTTCGCCATAGTTTTCATCATTTTCCATCCATCCAGGTTCGGGCATAGGCCGGCTGAGTGTCGGACGGTTTTCTTGCTCCAAAGCGCACTTTTGAACACAAACTTTTGAAGTAGAACGTATCCACCAAGGTGCGGATTTTGGGAGTGGTGGGTTAGGCTGGTTGTTTGCCAGATGGTCACGCCCGCAATCCTCAGGCATCCACTCCATGGGTGTGCGAAGCGATGCGGATCGCTGGGCCCCGATTCGTTCTTTGTTCTAAGTATTCTGGATTACATGCTCGTGTGAGCTCCCTAAACCCGAGGTCTTCGAGCTGTTGAGCCGTGCGGCCCCTAGTGTCAGTAGGCTCAGCAGGCTTTGGGCTCAGCCGGGGCAGCTCACATAGGGTTTAGGGTTTAGGGTTCAGGGTTTAGGGTTTAGGGATAGGAGGGTTCAAAGCTGAAGAGGGGATTCTGCTTTTCAAGATTTCCTCGGGGTATGTGCAGACTTGACGCCTAGATCATGCGGTCGTGCCCTGGCATATCTACAGCAACATTGCTTCAGGCTTTCCCAACATGTAGATGCCATCTTCTTTGCAAAGCCTTGTTTTCACATGGCCGTTCTACGTCTGGTGTACATCAAGCCGAGCACTGTGCACTTGCTGGGAGAAGGATTCTGGAACTGCGGAGACCCCCCAAGCATGAGATCCGGCAGCTAGGTCCAAGACCAGCGCCCTTTTGGTCCGTATTGCCAGGGTTTAGAGTTTAGGGTTTAGGGTTCAGGGTTTGGGGTTTGGGGTTAGGGTTTAGGGTTTACGGTTTAGGGTGAGAGCTGCTTGCAGTTGCGGGTCGTATCGGAGGCCTACATCAATGGATGGCCCGGCGCAGCTCCTAGAATCGGCCTGGGCTCGTGAACCTCAAGCTTGCTGCCAAGGGTTTAGGGAAGTTTAGGGTTTAGGGTTTAGGGTTTAGGGTTTAGGGTAATTGATGCCAACTCCTCCCAAGTGTGACTCAAAATGCCTCTGAACATGATATTACACCTTTCCATGTGGAGCCCAACAGTAGCATGACTGATTTCCAAGGCGTATAAGATTTCACGAACATACAGCCTGACAGCTGTACGTCAGGAATTCTTGGACAGAGTTTCGGACTCGAATATGTTCTGCATACGTTGAGAAGGCACACGATTCACATTCCGGGCCCTTTTGGTTCCTTGACTTGTCATGGCCCCCCCCACCCTTCCCCCCTTCTCTTTAACAGCCCAGTGCAGACCCAATTTTGATGAATCCCCAGGCTGCGCAAAGGCCTACGTACCCCGCCAAGGGCAGCGATCCCATGATGTCCTGGGAGGCTTGGGCGGCTTGAACCCCTTTGCTTTTAAGAGCGTTCGTGAGGGTTAGAGGTTGCTTGTTGTTCTTGAGGCCATGGTAGTGCTCCCGAGCATGTTGGTGGTTTAGGGATGATTCAGATTCGGCAACTCAGCCCCAAAACCTGGAAAAGCCCGAAGCTCAAAACATGAGAATCGGCCACCTGTTTGATTGAAGTTAGTTGTGAGCTGCACGGCCGCTTGTTTCGACGAAAGATCTCATTATCGCTTCGACCAGAGCTGCATCAGGCGGGGTTGTTTCAGCGTCCGACCTTCCCTGTGCCGCAATATCACCACTTCTCCATGGCAGGGGTACGGCTCTCGGTGTTCAGGGTCTCGCGAGTGCGACTCAGCTGTTCAAGGTTGCTTGCGTCGGGCTGATGTCAAGGGGGTCCCCATGTTGGCCCTTTAGGATTTTGGGTTCCGCCCTCGGGCTCCCCTCTCCGAAACACCCTGAGCCCGAGCATTCCCACGAAGGTCACCTACGCAAAGATTCCGGCTCCTCAGCCGGGGGAGTTTGCCCCGCAGGTGCTGGTGGTGGGGAATTTGCTGGTTTTAGTCGCAGGGATGGAAGGATATCCTTGCGTTGCGGGTCTGTTTGGCTGTAGTCCCACCGTTGTGTGCCGGTGCAGAATTTGGTTTTGGGGCGTGGGACAGGTTAAAGGTTCAGTGAGGGTGCATCATGCTCGACTCCAAGAGATTGTGTTCGGCATCGCAGTTTCTGTAAGCCACAATATGTGGAGGCTCATTCGAGACCACGCCTAAAAGATTCCCTCCAAGAAAACTGAGCCGCACTCAGCATAATTTCATGGCAAGTCAAGACAGACCGGCCACATCTTCTCAGGAGTTTCAGGCGGCGGCTTCGGACAAGGCAATGCGTGCACTTCAATGTCCAGCAAAGCTCTTATAAGGTCTAAGTCTAATCTCCCAGGTCTCTTCCCTCCGAAGCTGTTCACTGATGTACTGATGCACGGGCGTCGGGCTACGTGAATGGAAGTATACCATGCTGTTTGATGTCGTTGTCGGCAGCATTTGTCAAGGAGCTCCTATGTTGATCCACCAGCAGTAATGCCAACATTCGGTCAGCTCTATGTGTCAGTGGTAAGGTTGTTCATGCGTATTCCTGAGAGATCCAGGCATGGTCAGGCTCAGGGTCGTGATCCATTTGCAGCATTCCGATCTTGCCAAGTATGTCGGCGTTTCGTGAAGACATACACTCCCGCAGGCGGAGAAATATTTCTTCTTCTCCGATCCGCGAGGGGCCTGGTCTTTCATGATATGGGTTTAGGGTTTAGGGTTTAGGGTTTAGGGTTCAGGGTTTAGGGTTTAGGGTTCATGGTTCAGAGTTTAGGGTTTAGGGGGGGTCATGACTTGTGGTTCGAGTTTCTCGAATCACACGAATGTCGAAAGGAAGGAGTCCAAATACATGCGTAAGAAACGAGACTGACCTTGTGAGTCCCCCTTAGCATTGAATATAATCTGCGGTTTCGGGTTCAGAGATTTAGGTTTCTGATGTTGCGGGTATGCCCCTCCCACCCCCCCCCCCCCGCCTCTTTCCGCGCTCTCTCCCTCCCCCGCCCTCTCTCTTTCGCCTTATTTATTTCTTTATCTTCTCTCCCTATTTCTCTGATTGCCTCTGTCTCCCTCTCCCTCTCACCCTCCCTCCCACCCTTCTTGCCTCCCTCCCTCTATTCCTCTCTTTCAGCCCCAGCTCGTACATGCAAGGATGATCACACGCTCGAATGCGTTCATTCCCGAGCACCCGTCACATGGCCTATCGCAGTCCAGGGCCCAGGCAGCACTTATCGGTCAATTCCGCTTGGGAGCAAAATCTTTGCAGGAAGTAGGCTTGTGTGTGTGTGTGGCTCGAACTTGCCACTCTGCTTGAATGAGTGTTGGAACAGAAGGGTTTGCCCCATAGTCATCAGACAGCCCACAAGCAGCAGCAGCAGCAGTTGTCTTTTTTTTCTAGTGTTTTCGCAGCGCAAACAGCTCTGCAGTTCACATTGCGCTGACCAGCTCGCTTTGCCCAAGCATCCAGGGTTATGTTGGCAGATGCGGAGTGTGACGAGAACTCGGCACAGGAGTTTTTTTTGACATGTTTATCTGCCAATCGGGGGTCTTTACTGGAAGTCTGACAAGAATTTTAACGCTGAAACAATCCGACGAGCTTAGGCCCAATGTCAGATGTCATACAAATGTCGGACATTGTCGGACTCTTCAGAACAACGGCTAAATGTGGCTCAGGTCCAGGAAGTTTGCAAGCAGCGCGCCCTCCTTGAGCCTCTGAAGATCTGAGAAGCTACGAATTGTGACGAACGAGTCATAGAGAGCTACAAAGCCTATAGGACCTCACACAGCAAGCCGTTCGGGACGTTGCACGTACACGCACAATGTACGCACTGCTGCTAAGCCACAGTTTTTAGGTTGTAGCAAGGTCTGGCAAGGATGCGTGTGAAACCATGTGCTGAACAGCGGCAGTCCACTTCCAAGAAGTGGGAGTCTCACCCGCGACGTGCGAGACGACAACGGTTTCGGGTTCTCGTGCACCCTTGACCCAGACCTCAACCATAAACCCATGTCCGTATGAACCATGATATGTACTGACTCTATGGACTTAACTTGCGGATTGGCCGTGGAGGATGGAGCATGATTTTGAACAGGCAGGCCTGGCTATGAATGCCGATGACTGTTCTTTCAAAAGCTAGTGAGTCCTGTCGAAGCATCCCTGAATGCCGCACACCCGAGCAGGCTCCGTCTCTCAAACCAGATGCTTCTTAGAACCAGTTTGCGACCCACGTCCCGACGCCCGAAGTTCAAGAGATCACCTATGCTAGCCCCAAACCCCTAAACAACTTACAGTTATCCCTGAATCTTTTCGAACGATGCTGTGCGAATCGACTTGCCGCGCCATGGCAGATCTGGGGGCTGAATGGTAATGGGCAGAATCGTGGCTTCCAAGTAGAATTCAAGTGAGCTCGCCCGCAAGCAAGTCAAATGCGTTGTAGACAACAAGCTACGACTTAAGCGCAAAGCCGCGTTTGCTGAAGTATGCCTTCCCAGCACAAACTGAAAACAGGGGGATAGCAAAGCGGCAAGGAGCAACGGCAAATGTTGCTTTCAAGTGTCTGCCCTGCCAAGCCCTCTGCGAAGTTTGTTTATGCCTTCGTCCCATGGAAGGTTCCCACATGGGGCTTAGAGGAAAGCGCATTGAGAAGTGATGTTACTCAGGACGAATCCTCAACTCTGCAAGACAATGCGACGAAACATAGACTAAGAACCACAGCAACTTCTAGGGCTGTTTAGTTGGAGCAGCATTTGCTCGGTTGAGAAATGTCGAAGGCTTGGCACACTTGCAGTTCCCTAGAACCCTAAACCCTAAACCCTGTGGCATATTCGTTAACGTTGCCTGTTCTGCGCAGCGCTTCTCAGCGGTGCTCAGCGGGGCAAGGTTTATGCAGTATAGGTCGGAGGCATGATGCTACAGTAAGGTGGCTAACAGGTTCAAGGGTTGGTGTCTGACAGCATGTTGCAAAGACTTGCAGTTACTTAATGTGTTGGTGCAGTGGATATTTAGTGGGACCTGGTGTGCACCTTAAAAACTTTGTGTTGCTAGCACGATGCCACTAAGAGATTGACCTTCCCAGCGGTTGTAATACGGTCGTTTGCAACCATAAGGTCCCAGGACATTCTCTCCTCATGTCTTGCTTTGGTCAGGGCTTCCGCTTCATGTCCTACTAGGTAGGGTTTAGGGTTTAGGGTTCAGGCATTCTGTCATGAGCCCCACCACCACGCAGTTCTTGATACATGTATGTTGATTCTTGATTTCGCCTAGGCCCACACCCCAAACTGCACGTACACCCATAGCCAGAAACTACAAATCCCGATCCCCAAACCCTCAACCCGTCAGACATGATCTACCATAGTGAAGTTGCAAAACGGCATTTACACTGGCCACGACCCTTCCGTTCTTGGTCACGTTCTGGGCTTTCGGATTTTCAACCCCGAGAGCCGCTTACAAGCCCATCCATTTTGGTTTTGCTTTTCTGATTGGTTTGGCCCAGCTTTAAACCCTAAACCCTAAACCCTAAACCCTAAACCCTAAAACTTTGTCGGGCTTTAGTCGAAGTCGGTTGTGTGTGACGGGTTGCCGTGCGGCGCACTCCTGATGCCCGTGCCAAGGACCAAAAACATCCGTGGGCACCGGTTTTGTCACTTGGCCCTCTCCCTTAGCAGCTTCCAGACTTCGCTGGTTTGGCTTCCATCCTTCCAGAGGCCCCCTACTTGCGCCCTACACAGTCGCTGCCTAAAGTCACCCACAGCAAGATGCGGATGTAGGCTATCGTGTCAGAGAGACGTTTGGAGTGAGTCTGTTGCTTTATCCATCGTTTCATGCCCCCGAAGCATCCCTGACTCGCTCAGGTTGCGCTGCTCTTGGGCAGATGCTGCCTTGGCAGCAAACTCGGTCAACTTCCCCACGTCCTTGACGTCGTGAAAGTTCAAGGCCAGGCTCACCGCCCAGGGCTCCGGGGTTCAAGAGATAGAAAGTTTTGAGGCTTGCTCAGGGTCTTTGCTGCACTTAGTGTCGGTCTTCGGATCCGGCCCAGTCGGGATGCACCGCCGATCCAGTGGTTTTAGGGGACTTTTATGGTGTTGTTGAGCAATCCCTTGTGGTCCGTCTATGGAAGTACCATAGACGTGTGGGGAAAATGCTCCAAACATTTTGGGAGCTCTGGTGTCCGCCATGCAGCCATGGTGATGGTGGTGGCGACAGCAGTACTGCGCGCAGTAACCCTAACCCTAAACCCTAAACCCCAAATGTTGTGACCTGGGGTGATGCTTACTATGGTGACAGACATTGGTGGCACCGTGCCAGAAACAAGGGCACCCACAGCATCATAGCTTCCAAAAGATTGGCTCTAAAACGATCCGAAATGACAGTATCGGAACAGAAGGTCATCACGAAGTCTCAAGGCCTGAAATGCCGCAGACCACAATCAAGTGCAGACTCGTGGACTTCGAGGGCATGTTGCCTCGCTTCCGCTGCACCTTCAACCTACTCCCCGAAGTCCCTCCCAAGCCCCTCCAAGATGAACAGCACTCGCCGCAAGTGTGTCTCAGCAAAGTTTTTGTTTGAGTTCGGATCTGAAGAAATTCTCCTCCAAGCCTCCAACTTTGGGTTTCGGGTTTAAGGTTTAGGGTTTAGGGTTTAGGGGTTTAGGGTTCAGGGTTCAGGGTTTAGGGTTTAAGGTTTAGGGTTTAGGGTTCAGGGTTTAGGGTTTAGGGTTTAGGGTTTGCAGGAGTTACGGCCGAGCTTGAGGGCATCCGCCTCCGCGGCATTCTCTTCGCCTTGGGACAGGCGGAGCCAAGGTTTGGGGGGCTGAAGGGTTTCGGGGTTTTGGGGTGTTGGGGTTTAGGGTTTAGGGCTTAGGGCTTAGGGTTTAGGGTTTAGGGTTGAGGGCTTCAGAACCTGTGCGCTTTTGGCTCTTATCTTTGCCAGCTTGGGGACGGACAAACCATCACCAAAGCAGCAGGTCTCTGATTTTGCGGCAAGGTTTCAACTGTAGCGTGCACCCTTGATCTGATGGAAACGGCGACTCTTCCATTTCACAAAACTTGCATTCTCCAAGCTTCCAACTCCTCGGCCTTAACCCTTATATGGGTCCTACGGGTACTTCCCAAAATGGGGTTATATGCCCCGTTTATACCCAAATAGAATAGAATATCCTTATACAGGGACGCCCAGAAAGGGCACCCGATATTTTCGGAAACCCCTACAAGACCCAAACCCCGTGCTCTTGGGCAACAGGTGGCAGAGGCGTTGTCCGAACTCTCCGACATGGAAGGTCCTCAGGCGTTTGCTGGAATGGGGCATTCCAGGGTCCGTTTACAGCATGGGTTTAGGGGTTTAGGGTCAACCCTAAACCCTAGACCCTAAACCCTCAACCATTGGATCTTTCTAGCATGGAGGGTTTTCTGCCTAGCGTTTCGGGTGCCTCAGCGTTCTATTGATACGGGTCCCTTGGGCATCTTCTGGGGTGGGCGGGGGGCTGGCTGCCTAGCATTTCGGGTGCCCAAGGGTACTATTGCATGGATCCCTTGGGCATATTAGCCCTAAACTGGTGCAGGCAGGAGGGGGTTTTGGACTGGTCCCTTGCAAGCGTTGCTGAGGATGTAGTATAGGGCAGGTCTTAGGCGAGGACGACGCAAATCTGAAATCAGATGGGCTAGGGCTAGGACTCCGCATGCCTCATGCTTTGAAGTATGCAGATTCTGGCGAAGCAGCCCCTGTGGTGCTGCAGCTGCCGACAGATTCCCATTGTCCTGACCTCGTGAACTTAGAACCATAAGTTGTCCTTTCGCGCTGGATCCCTAGACCCTTTGCACTGAAAGGCCCAAGTTTTCCATGTCCCAGACTGTGTTTAAGAAGCCCTACGCCCCATCCGTATTTCAGACCCGCAAGTTCTCTTCCTAGTTTATTTCTACTCCCTCGAAATATGGCTCAGGTGTGAGCCCAGAAACCTGTAAAGCAGCTCCCCATTCAAGGCTATGCACCCTAAACCCGAAACCCTAAACCCTAAACCCTAAACCCTAAACCCTAAACCCTAAACCCTAAACCTGAGCAGCAGCAGGAGGTCTCCCCAAGCTGTATCGCGGCCTTCTGGGATGGGCCGTTCGCGCTCAGCAGTGCTTTGCCAAGCATGGGTGCTGATGAAGGATTCTGCGGTTCATGTGACCCTAAACCCTAAACCCTTAACCCGAAACCCGCGTTGGTCAGCCGTTTCCACTGGCCTTCTGTGGGTCCACGGGATTGGGGCTTAAGTGCACAGTGCGAGTGCAAATAGGCATGCAGTCCCTGGCTCATCCTGCACTCATCCTCGAGTCGGTTAACATGTGTTTCGAGTTCCATGGTTTAGGGTTTAGGGTTTAGGGTTTGGGGTTTAGGGTCTAGGGTTTAGGGTCTGATCCTTGTCCAGCACGTTGCATCTCTTTTCAGCTGCTTTCAATCACAATCAGCTCATGCCATGTTGGTTTGTGCTTCAGTATTTGAGTTGCAGTGTTCGAAACTGGCCATATGGAGAGTGGTGCTGAGTGGTACTCCTGCAAATTAGGACGGTTGCAGACCTGACTCGCAAACCCTAAACCCTAAACCCTAAACCCTAAACCCTAAACCCTAAACCCTAAACCCTAAACCCTAAACCCTAAACCCACAACTAAACAGCACAGGAAGGCTTTTCTCTATATCCCCTTGGGAGTTAGTTTTTATGTTTGTTTATATAAAACCCAAGAGGATGTTAAAACTACTATTTTTATTCAGGTTCTAAGGGGAGTATAGTTCAGTTTGGATTGCATTCTTGAGGCCATCGCGTTCACAGCATGGGAAGTCCAGTCTTCGATATCGAGGAGGAGAAGAAGGCTTATTCGTGCCAAGTCAACTGAACCCGAAGCTCAACAGTCCTGAGAATCTGACGCTGACATAGCTTCGCTGCGTTGAGGGAGGCTGCAGAACCCAGCGAACTGATGGAATTTGACTTCTTGCGACTCAAAGAACCAGGGCTTGCGCCCTTTCCGAGGGCAGTCAGGACCGCAAGCCTGCCCAAGCCCCCCTGCAACAATCAGGATGGCAGTTAAGAGCAGCATGGCAGCCTTAAATCCATCAACTCTATGTCTGACACTTCTAAAGCTGTAGTCTATTTGGATTCATGACTTTGCGGTTGACCTTGACTAACCACACTAACCCTAAACCCTAAACCCTAAACATGAGTAATGAACTCCTGGGTGCGCAGCGGCAGGCGCCAGCTGATCAGAGGCACCGCCCTCAGAGCCATAAGGGCATGAAGGTCAATTCCTGAAGCACTTCATGGTTCATACCCTAAACCCTAAACCCTAAACCCTAAACCCTAAACCCTAAACCCTAAACCCTAAGGTTTTCAACATCCTCTCAGAGTCGCTGGCTGAAGTCTTTACGTTCAGGGAGCAGGTTTGCCGGAAGCGCTTCGTGGTGGATAAATGAGGGGGCGTTCAGCCCGAGGCCCTCAACCACGCTAAGTCCCGAAGCCCAAAGTTCTGCCATTTGAAGTTTAGAAGCTCTACCAGCCCTTTCAACCCCAAACCCATAGCCATAGCCTCCAAGGGGGCCGCCGGATAAAGGGATTAGCAAGCTGTAACAGCCTTCACTCCTGCCGAGTTTGGTCCAGTGCTGGTGGGCGGAAGGCTCTTGTTGGGTGGCCTCGTGGATGCAAGAAACATGAGCTGAAGCCCCCAAGACCTTGCATTGCAGCCCTGTTCAATTAGAATTGACCTCCACCTCCATGTCTAGAAGTTCCCCATGGACGAGGCCGATTTGAAGCCGATGTAGGCCGATTGTGCAGTTCGGTTTAAGGTCTTAGGCCCATGGGCCTCCTAAACCCTAAACCCTAAACCCTAAACTGGCTAAGCAGCTTGGCATGTCGGGGGGTTTGTGGTCGTGTGGATGTCTGGACATAGGGTTGGAGATCTTTCTTTTTGACATCCTCAGTTCCAACTTATCCTCCATACAGTGGAACCATAAGCGGTGCAAGCTTGCCTCAAAATCCACGCGGAGAGTCCCCTAAACTCCAACAGCTCTTCTCAGGTTCGCTTGGACTACACTGCAAGGGCCGACATGGAGCAGGTGATGCTGCAGTTCGTTGGAAAATCCTTGGCCTTTAGCGTAGGCTCCTGCATTGGGTTGGCCCCCATAGGGGTCAGAAGGCAGGGTCCAGCAAAGCGCTGTGGTGAACCGCTGTGGACCTAGGCCTTTTGCATATTCCAAGGACCTTTGAAGCACGTCAGCTGAAATACCGGGTGTCTCGCATGACGGTAAGTGGGAAGAGAAGGAAGCTCCAACCGCTGGAAGGTGGTCACCTGGGCGACTGGCTCTGGGATCATGCCGGGCGTGCCCTGTGGCCCGCACGAAGAACTGGTTGTCCTTGAGGTTCGAACGCCCATACCGACAACCTATTTCAGTTCGTGGATCTTCGTTCTGTTTTTTGAGGGTTTGTGTTGAGCGGACGCCATTTTTTGGGTCGTCGTGTTAGTACCGGCCATCCAAGAGCAGTGCAGGCAATCCTTACTATTGCATATACGGCTGTTAAGAAGTATGCTAGGTGTGGTGCAGCCGGCCGCAGCAACGCAATCAGGCAACGTTGTCAAAGTGCCCGCACCCTCGAACAGCGCGATCCGAGTCAGAACCCATCGAGCAAAGGACTGGCTCAGCGACCATGTTGCTGTCTTTGCCACTTGCTTGCGTCCTGGCTGCATTTGGCTTGCGGCATGTTACAATTAGCTCCCGAATACTGAACTACCAGTACCTCCAACGACGACATAGTGATACCCAGCAAATCAAAATATCATGATCTTGACAAACCTGGGAGAGCGGCCCCTCATAAAGTATTATCCTCGCTTTCGATAGCTGCTCAAATTTGGCTCACATGCGGAGCAGCCGCAAAGCCCGAAAAGCTTGAGCCCTTCAACGCCCAGTGGCAGTCCATGCCTGTACGGATTGGCAACAAAAACGCAAAACATCCTGAAACATCTTCACCGATTTTGAGACATGCCGCTGGCCCCGCCCGCGGCTGCCCTGCAGCCAATTGTGTTCCTGCTGCCAAATTTGTCTTTAATGTCTCTCCACGCCTCCTAAGGTACGCTGCAGGCACGGGGTGCAAAAACAACATGTGCGACGTCAGGATGTGACCAGATCGTTCGCATGGAGCAGAAGGTTTAGTCTAAAGGATCCAAGCTTTGGAAGCCCCGGAAAGGCTTTGTTTAAGCGCTTTAGCGAAATGTTGCAAGCAGGCCAAGCGCGCAAAAGTTTTTTGTTTCATCATGTTTCATTCTTTGCCAAACCTCTTCAGAAACCGTTCAAGTCCAAGTCGAGAGGCCACAAGCCGAATCCCCCTGCATCTTCAACGTCTTGAAGCTACAATGACTTGGCCAGGAAGCAGCCCTCTACTTGGCCCCCCAGCTCTTAGACCTCAGGCAAATGGATGGCCAGGCGCAAAGGGCGTGGGGACAGGAAATGGGAGTTTTGAGTTGTTGGACGTCCGTCTATCCCAATGGCGTGCAACCAGGGAAGATGAAGGAAAAGCTGCCAGGCAGACGCTTCAGAGAGGACACGGACAAGCCACTAAGCAGAAAGCACAAAGAAGGCCTGGCAAAGTAGCTAAACAGACTCAAACAAGACCGTAACAAAGCCCACTAAGTTTTCGTGGCAAACAAGATGGGTTTCACACTCAGGGTTGTCTGCAGGATGATCGGCTTTTGCTTTTGGATGTATATGAATTAAAAGCAGAAAATCACCCCAACTTGAAAAAACTTGGCGGTACGGGCTTTGGGATAGAGGAGGGCTTACGACTTTACGAGCGTGCGTTCCTTGAAGCTTCATGGAACTTCTGGGTTTGGGTTCCCAGATTTCCTCATCAAGAAGCATGATGTGACCTAGGATGCCTCCCTGAACCCGAAACCCTAAACCCTCAACCCTAAACCCTCCTACCACGTGAATCAACTATCATATATGGAATGAAGGTGCCTGAGGTTGTGGTCACTCGTGCACGCTTTCAGAAGGGCCAAGCCGTTGAGCAAGGTGTTGTTTGAAACAAACCCATAAGGTACCCGACGCATACACGAAATCGTCCTGTTTAGGCATAGAGACAGACAGAGGAGGGAGAGAGAGCGAGAGAGAGAGAGAGTGACCAGTATGGACAGTTACACACAGGGGACGTAGTTCAACGAATCGCAAGCCCCACGTAAGACCCTAAACCCTAAACCCTAAGCCCTAAACCCTAAACCCTAAACCCTAAACCCTAAACCGTGCCAGAATTCCTCGAGATTCGCTATTTGTTTGCTCTGTCGCGAGTGAGTTTTTGCAGAGGAGGCCGTGGTCACGCAAGCATCTCTTCTTGCGCCTTGGCCGAGCTTGATTCAAAGCCCTTGTCAGTACTTCAGACCCTAAACTAAACCCTAAACCCTAAGCCCTAAGCCCTAAACCCTAAACCCTAAACCCTAAACCCTAAACCCTAAGCATAAATAAGGTTGCCAGAGCCGCAAGCCTTAAACCCTTCTCACAAGTCTTGTTGAACCAGACGTTCCTCTGCCCAAGCTTACATGATGTCATGATGCATCATGAACTTCATGAACCGTGCGCCCATTGTTGGGGTTTAGGGTTTAGGGTTTAGGGCTTAGGGTTTAGGGTTTGGGGTTCAGGGTTTAGGGTTTAGGGTTTAGGGTTCAGGGTTTAGGGTTTAGGCGGCTTTGCACGGGCCTCCTGGCACCGTGACAGCATGTGCCAGCCGCGAATCGACAACCTACAGCGTCACGACCCAAGACCTGCGACAATCGCAAGCAGCGTCCACTCATACGACGTCACGGGGGCCTCGAAACGAAGAGCCGGAGTGCTCCGCCCCATATCTCAATCCAAGCCCGGCCGTCGTGTGGTTCAGTTGAGCCGCCATTCCTCGGAGGAAAATTCTCTTTTACATTTTTTGTTACCCTAAACCCTAAACCCTAAACCCTAAACCGATGTCCTTTTCAGACCTTGCCTCTAAGGAGATCAGACCGGGGAGCTTCGAGGTTGCGAGGACACACCGCAACTTGTCAAGGCGATCTTTCCGGAGAGATCTGGAGACTATACATCCCCCTAAACCTTAAACCCTAAACCCTAAACCCTATGGTTTATATAAAGCCCAAGAGGATATTAGACAGATTATTTTTGTGAAGGTTCTAAGAGGAGTATAGGAGAGAGGTTGGGAGAGAGTTCTGGTCTATTAACCGTCATCGTCACACGGGCTTGCAGCGCTTTTTTTTGCATGATTTCGTATGTTTGTGGGATAGAATAGAATGGTTTCGAGTCCAAGCCTGAACGTCAAACGTCACCCCCCAAAACTTTCAGCGTTCGAGAAGAAATGCCCTCGAGACTCGAAACACCTTCAATCCTCAACCTTGCAGCACCCAAATAGGAATTTCAACCTTGGAAACTCCAAAAGTTCTGACTGCTGGAGCCATGAAAGCTGACGCAAAACCGGGAGGTGGATCCCTCATGACTCTGGCAGAGCATACCCGGAGGCGGGCTCAGGTCTTTTTCGGCGCGTTTGAATTCAAGACGTTGGATTTCATCATAGTGTCATGGATGATGCTGGTCGTGGAGATCAAAGCCAGAAGTTGTATGCCTGTCGTGAACGAGGATCCAGCGGCAAACGGTTTTCTCATGCTGTTCTGGTCTCTCGGCATCACGTTCCGTGCCTAGAGGCTACTGGTAAAGGATTCAAGCCGGGCGGAGCCCAAACCCGGCAAATGGTGTTGTCCCCGGAAGCAAACCCCTCTGAACTGGGATCGTTAGCCCAACGAGACCCCTGCAACTCCTGCGCACGCGTCGCACGTGACAGCCTCTGACCTAATTCAGTATCTCAACCGGCTCATACCCCCGAAGCCCCCTGAAGAAAAAAAAAGGCCCAGACATGGGGGGGTGTACGATATTTGGGGTACCTTCTAGGGGTCCTTGTGATAAGAGGATCCTACGATTTAAGTGTGGATGTTCGGAGTCCCCTATGTTCGTAAATCCCCACATGGATCCTCCTCAGCAGGAAGCTGTCGACAGCTTCGGTGCCGAGTGCGTGCAGGCGGCCACGAGCAAGACTGCCAGCCTTGCAGGCCTATCCTATCTGGGTTTAGGGTTTAGGGTTTAGGGTTTAGGGTTTAGGGTTTAGGGTTTAGGGTTTAGGGTTTAGGGTTTAGGAAACTGAGGACATGAACTGCGAGAGTTTCGGGTGTCGGACAGCACACCTTTTCCATAGGACCGGCTCTCACTCCTCTTTTGCGCATGTCCTGGTTCACTGCAGATGATAGGTTAGAGTTGAGGGAGGTTGAATGATAGGCTTTTCATGGCCTCAGGTTTTCGCTTCCACGAGATCTTCGGCCGCGTGCTTTGCAGCCCTTCAGTCTACTCAAATCCCGAGGCGCTTTCGGGCGGAGGGTTTTGGGACCTCCCTTCATGCTCCCAACTCAGGACCGCGCCTTCGCACTTCTTTATAAGAACTTGACCTTCGCTCGTGCTGCACCCAGACAGGTCCTGACTGACTCCCACAGTCATACGCTGGCTGGGTGCCTCCAACCATCTCCAACCCTCATCGGCTGCTCACAATGATACCCGACATCAAGGGTTTAGGGTTTAGGGTTTAGGGTTCAGGGTTTAGTTCAAGAACCACACTTGTGATTGCAAGGTCATGAGCTACCCTGCAGCTGTGGGTCGGTGTGGTACCCATATGCTTGCAGTAGCCGCTCAGTAGCCCAACCCAAGTTGAACCCACAAACGCCACGCCTATTTGCCATTTGTTGGCTTCTTTATGCCACCAAACCCCCCACAGCCGGAACATGCCAACAGTCATTCTTCAGTCCATGTATTCACCATGTGTTATGCAGGATTTCACTGGAGCCGCTGCTGGCTTGAAGATCTATGTGCAGTCGTGCCTGGGCTTGCAACGAGGGGTTGGACGGGCGAGAGAAGCGGGGGGGCGGGGAGCGCCTGTGTGGGCTCGTCGCTCAGGTTGGGAGCTTTTGGGGTTGAAAGGCCAGGCTGTGCCTCAGTGCAACACTGCCGGGATCAAATCGTGCATAAGTTGCATGCAGAGCACTTTCAGACTCTGAATGTCAAAATCTGCAAGTAGGAGTTGTGCCAAGATGCAAATGTGCACTCAGCCCTCCGCACGATGGAGCTTCCCGTAGCTTCCCCTATACCTCGGCGGCCCTTGCCGGCCTGGTCGCGATTTGCTATTTTTGCATGAGCCTTAACAGCTCGCATGCTGCGCAGTTTCAGGTTAACGAGCTCCTTGAATGCAGACCGCGCCTCGGCCGTTTAGCAGCTGTCGACTGGGGGAGTTGTATGGTTTGGGTCGAGGGCTTTGGGAGAAGGCCGCATAAGACAGTGACAGGGTCTGTAGCTGGAGACTTCACTGTAGCATTTTTCAACAGTGCAGGGTTAGGGCCCGCATGAAGCAATCGACTCTTGCAACTTCGAAAAAACCTCAGATCCTGCTGTAGACTTTAGACCCTAAATCTTACGCCACCAAAGCCCAAGTCTGGATCGCGCCAAACTCTGTGCCTTGGCCTTGGAGATAGATGCCGAAGCAAAAAAGACCTTAAACCCTAAACCCTAAACCTAAACCCTACACCCTCTACAGGATTGGTTGTGGCCAGCCTGGTTCGTGTGGCGCACAACTTTTCCTGCGACCCTGGGTGCCTTCGACCGCAATGTTGACCCTCAAGAACGCCCAGGGTTTAGGGTTTAGGGTTTAGGGTTTAGGGGTGCTGCAGTTGTGGTTTCACAGCTTGTCGTGCTGCGACTCTGAAAGGAGGGCAGGTTCATGAGAACCTTTGGGTCCTCGCCGTGTGATCAGGCGAGAAAGCAGACCTAAGCCTGGACGGGCTATTATACCCTGTAAACCCCAAAAATTGCCCTTTATAGGGTTGATGGTGGGGATTTTCGGGCCCAATAACCCATCCTGGTAAGCTGGGTGATGGCATGCCATGCTGACGAATGTAGCTCGAAGTTCGGCCTGGGCAAAGAGTTCAGTGCTTTTGTGTCTAGGATGCCCAGTAGTGCCCTTGTTCCCTTTTTGGGGGCTCTAGGTTCCCCTAAAAAGCCCTTTAAGCAAATAAGGGTACCCTTTTAATCCTAGGTTACTGGGCAACCTTGGTGTGGACTCAGATGTGGTTCTACCATCAATCCAAGGTTCTTGTTGTGGTTGGCGTCGTGGTCGAAGGGTCTAGCCGACAATAGTACGCCAATCATCGTTTGTATTGCGCTGGGCTTTGCTGCAGGTTCTTTCCGTGCAGCAAGACCAGTTGGGAAGGTGAATGGTCCGCTTGGCGTCAGCATGCAGGACGTTCGTCAGGGTTGGGGTGCAGGTGTAACGATATTCAGCCTACTCCAGACTGGCTTAAGGTTTTTGCTCCGGGCTGGCTTAAGGATTTTGAGTGGGTTTTGGAGTTCAAGGAAGCTCAGCGCATGTGCAAGCTTGTGGTATCAACCAGTTTCTTCGCGGTGCAGGCTGCTCCTACTGCATCTTTCGCCCATGCATGTCCTGATTTTACAGCTTCGGAGGGGACGTCTGTGTGTTTACATGTGTAGGAGAAGGACTGAGATGGAACACCAAGGGAAGGCAATGAACGCAACCAAAAGAGAAGGATAGGCAAGAAGCAGAATCACTGTCATTGTCTTTGCCAACGTCACTACTACACATCTTCACTGAATGCCCCGATCCTAAACAACCCTGAGCCCAATACTTATTGCAACCTGCACATGCTTCAGCGGAATCTGCGTTCCGAAGTAAGACTAAATACTCCATCTTCCCAACACTGTATATCCCCCTTGGGAATCAGTTTTCATTTTTGTTTATATAAAACCCAAGAGGATATAAACAATACTATTGTTATTAAGGTTCTAAGGGGAGTATAGAAAAAGGCTGACCCAGCCTCCAGATGGTGCAGGAGAAGTTGCTTTCCTGCAGAAGATTCTGACCGCCCCGCCAGAAGTCTTGGTGGGCTCCGCTGACGAAGCAGTAGCTCGGTCTCAGTGCTTGCCAGGATGAGCTATTGGGCCCTATAATCCCCACAATCAACCCTATAAAGGGCATTTTTGGGGGGTTATGGGGTATAATAGCCCGTGTAGTGATTGAAGTAGTGCGGATGGCCCGGATTTGTTTTTGAGTTGCTCAGGGGTTTGGGCTGCGGGGCTGTGCTGTGGGATTGCTGTGAGGTTTCGGGGGGGGGGGGGGGGGGGGGGGGCGCAGATTTCTTATCTTTTAGGAAGCCAGTCAGCTTAACCTAGTTTGGGTGGCATGGTTGTATTTCAATCTTTGTAGCGATTCAGGCCAAATGCCGCCAGAAGATACAGAAGTCCAACTTTTCACACCTCGAACTGCTTCGTACCTCCATACGATCATATGGTCGGGAACTGCGAAAGCTTGGGACTTCAAACGTGTACAATTGCACAGGTCTACGAATATGAGCCGAAACTAGGACTGCACCGAAGCAGTTGCCACCCGAAACCGCAGGGTATCAGACCTTGCTACGCAAGATCTGCGCGATTTATATATATATATATAAACATACATATATATATATATATTTACATATAGATATTGTTTTTTTTTTCTTTTTTTTGGGGGGTGGGGGGTTGGGAAGGGGTTGTGGGGAATACCCAGGATCTGATCGTGGTACCTGGCCTGTCGGCAGCTCAGTGGTTCGGGACACCCGGGAACCTAATCGCGCGCTGGTGGGATGTTATCTCTTGCGCGCTGAATCCGCCGGGCACTGGGCACCCATGTTCCTTTCTGCATTTTGTGCTAAGTTGCTCCCATACTGTAGAAGCAGATTTCATGTATGGTATTTCTGAGCTGCATGGTCGTTCAGAATCATGCAGCCATGTGCAATGAGTTGTCAGCGTTTGGTTGACAAGGGTTTCGGTTTGAAGTGGTCGGTGCCTTTGTGGCGCTCGTTTTTCTTTGCTTTGGGGCACTGAAGACGTTTATGTGTACCATTGTTTCGAGCCTCGCTGCCTCGTCCTGTTGCAACACCAAAGCGGCAGCAGGAAGTGGAGAATAGCCAGATGTGAGTCAGCGGTTGAACCATCGGAATCCAGGCTTTCATGGCCCTACGCCTGAGGCTCCAAACCCCACAGATCTGGCTCTTGCTTTGTCAGCTCTCTTCGAAGCAGGAAGTAGGGTTGGGTTCAAAGTTACAGGAGGGTTTTCGGTTCGTGGAGGCGGGGGGGCCCCCCCGCAACTTGTTACGGGCCCTTGTCGCGCCAGCTTTGTTTCAAGCAGGTTGTCGGGCGGCAATAAGGGACCCACCTCCGCATTAAACATATAATTGATGTAGCCTTTTCGTGCAAGCCTTGTCGTACAAGCCTGTCGCAAGAAGCAGCTTTTGTCATAAGCCTCGTCGCTCCGTGCCCGCCCGGGGCCTGTTACAGGCCCTCACTTTTAGCCTAATCGCAATTTAGGGCCTGCAGCATCCAGTATCATCCTTGCACTGCTTGTCGCGTGGCAAAAAAAGGTACTTCTGCCCCACGACCCGCGCATGTGAGCCCCAAGCCGAAGTCCAGCCTTAGGTTCCAGTTTGCCAGCTCCAAGCACATGTTCCGACAGGCAGGAGTCCCGAGGGCTAAAGTGGCTAAGGCCTCCTAAATCCTCAGTTTCTTGAAAAGCAGTGCAGCACTCGCCCTAATAAGGCCTTGTAGCCCCAAGAGGAGGTGAACACCTGAAGCCTCTTAGTTTTGGGCCAAAGCTGCAAGTTTCCTGGGCTTGTTCTTGGGGTTTCTGGCAAGCAAACCCAAGGGCATCGGCAATGTCGTGGACGGGGGAACGTGCTTGAGATAGTGGGGTGATGTGTAGAAATACATACATGTGATTACAGTGAGAGGTGCATCATGAGTTGACGTGAGCTTGCCAAAGAGCCAACACCCACTTTCCGAAAAGATCCCCGAGAGTTTCCAGGCGTTCGACTGTTCGTGGAATCTTCTCATGGCCGGAAACAATGTCTCAGACAGTTAAGTGTCTTCTGAACTGGGCCAGTTGAGAGAGGTCGAACCCCGAACAGTAGCAGCTGCATTGACAGGAATTGAACGATAGGCAGACAGAACGCCTGATTGCCTTCAGTTGCATCGCAGCTGCCCGCGGGACATCATGAAGCTTCTGTGGTTGCAAGATGGGTTTGGGTCCAGGGCCGTGGATGAAAGGTGATTCATGGTTCAGCGTCCGGGCTCAGGGCTTTGGGGCTAAGAGGGAACTCACCGCACGGGCTTGGGAACAAGGTACGGCTCGTCGTCGACTTACTTAGACTTAAACACGTGCACCGTCTACTCCTTAGCGCCCTGCTGTGGCTTGGTGTGCAGAGTCTCGAGTTGCTGAATTGGGAGATGTTTGGAAATTTAGAACAAGGAAATGAGGTAAACGCGTCATCAACGTGAAGCACCCCCACCTGCTCGGACGCGTAGAGACACGCACGCACAGATGCACACACGCACAGAGGCACGTACGACAGAGACACGCGAAACTCACGTGTGTACCCACGCACGCACGCACGCACCCATGCACGCGCCTGCGCCTGCGCAAGCGCGCGGACACAACACACACGCGCGCACGCACCACACGCACGCAAGCAGTGCGCACGCACACGCACCGCACGGACGCACCCCCACTCTCACACGCACATGCGCTCACGAGCGCGCACATGCATCCACTCCCACCCAACCACCTGCCCACCCACCCACCCACCCCCGCATCCGCTGAAGAGCAAGTTCTCCTTCCTCGAATTTCTTCCTAAATGACATGCGCTAATCCCCCATCTCATCCGAGGGAGCTGGAGCACTTGAAGTTCATGCTTCCGGAGCAGACGCCGCACCTCTTCGTCTTTGCCGACCACATGAGACCCGGCTGTGCCGAGGGCTTAAGCTTCGGAGTCTACTATAGGTTTAGGGTTTAGGGTTTAGGGTTTAGGGTTTAGGGTTGAAGGTGCCAAAGCTGGATCGGCTACAGCGTAGGAGCCCCATTGATTGCTGAAGGGGTGAAAGAATAGAGGGCGACAAGTGGTCGAACCTTGGAATCGGGGTGTGTAGACCTTGTGAACTGCGTGCAGGGTGTCAGAAAGTGGTCGAACTATCACGGCTCACAACAAAAGTTCGTGGAGCAGATGTGCATTCAACCACTAGGCCGCGACTGGCAGTACAAGCAAACTTCAGGTATGCCCAACTCGCCCAACAAGACCATTGTGAAGAATGCGCGTGCCCTGCTCGCTAAGGAACAACCTGAGGCCCTGCGTGCATGAACGCTAACAGTGGATGGGTCAGCGGCGGGAAGCTTGAGTTTAGGCAGTATGCTGACGTTTCGAAGTTTTGCAAGTTGTGAGTGCAAGGAGATGACGGCAGGGATGTAGGGGAGTGATTTGTTATGGGGCTTGGGGTTGCGTTGCAGAAAAACCGGAACAGAAGCTAGGATGTGCAGGAATGACATCATTTCCATTGTTTGGTCCCAACCGATACCTTACACCCTAAACCCTAAACCCTAAACCCATTTCAAGCCTCAACCTGGCCTTGAATTCCGCGACCGGCTCTGGCAGGGAGAGTGATCCTGGCGGGTTCAACTGCTACATCTCCCGGCATCCCGTTCCTCGGCCGAGTCCTTGGGCTTTAGGTAAGGGTTTAGGGTTTAGGGTTAGGGTTTAGGGTTTAGGGTTTCGGGTTTAGGGTTTAGGGTTTAGAAGCTTTTGGACTGTGCAAGGGTGGAATGCCAGGTGTAATCGCGAGAGGCAAATTACTTGGGTTGGAGGCCTTTTGCCCCCTTTGTGCTCAAAAGGGTTTCGTGCTTGGGGCCCAGGATTGGACGTTCGAAATCTTACGATTGTATCTTATACCCTTCCACCCCAAAGGTTGCATCGATGTCATACATCTCATATCTGCACTCCAGTCCTGATGTCGAGAAGCACCACATGACTGCTTACAGCCCCGGAACCACTGGGATTGGGGCATGTGGGGTTTGAGGTGTTCAGGTGAGGTTGTATAGGATGCCTCTTCTCGGATGGCTATTACTCGTACCCTAAACCCTAAACCCTAAACCCTAAACCCTAAACCCTAGACCGCGCGGGCTATTGCTGATATGGACTCCTGGCCAGGACAACATCTTCATCTCGCATGGGTCAGAGTTGTCTGCACCAGGCTACATCACAATGCCCCTACCTCAGGAGAATTGCGCTTTCCATGGCCTAGTGGTGCAAGCTTCCTAAAGCAGTTGGGAGGCATAGTGGTTTGACTGCCCTCGACAAGGCCTCCGGTAGTGACGGAATCGGAGCTCCACCCCTGGAATTCCGCTTCCGAGACGCGAGAGACCTTCCTGCTGTATTCCGCTCCCTGGCCTGCAAGGTGTCCTCTTGAGGTGTGCTAAGAGTGGGCCGAAGTCGGCAGTCATCATGCGGTTTCCCCAAACAGCCCGGTGATTTCATCTCAGGAATCTAAGAAGGGGGACAAATCTGAGTCTGAGATCCGAACGCCCAAAGCCGAGCCGAGCCCTCTGTGGATGCTCCTCACAGTGCCTGAAAGCTCAAGTAACTTGTACCTCAGAGTACGGAACTTGCTTAAGCCTAAGCTTGAGATGTTCCCCCTTCTACTAACCGTCCTCAATCACAATTATAGCTGGGGGTACTATGATCCCTATTAAGGACTGTTAGTAGGGGGAACATCCCAAGCCTAAGCCATGGGCTGCAAGTGTTACGGTCTGAGCCTAGAGGAATTAGCAGCACTTTTGTTTTTTTGCCTGGGGCTTTAGTTTGAGATACGCAAGAAACTGTCAGAATTGTTCAACAATATTCAACAATCGTTTGTTTTGTTCTTGCAATGCCGACATCATTCCGCGCACTCCTCACATGATGCCCTCCTAAACGCAGCCTCGAAGTTGAAAGTTTCAGCAATCATTTCTACGCAGCGGTCGAAGGCTGTGCAGTTCAGCAAAGATACAGTGAAATAACCGCTCAGAATCTGAAATGCGCAGTAATCAGGTTGTTCACATCTTTTGTCCCCCTCATCGGGGACCTTGGGGGACCTATGGGGGATCCTAGCATGCGCCCCCTCGCAAATGACCCACAACGTTCGCGAGAAAGATCCCAATGTATTGGCCCTTGAACTATTGAGTTTAGGCATGCAAAGAAGACTCTTGTTTAAGCCGTGCATGGCCTGTTTGCCGGGGGTCGCAGGAAACTGCCAGCCTGAAATGTCCCGCCGAGTGCAAAGCTCAAACAGCGCGAACTTCTGAGGAGAATGTGGATTGCTGCCATCCAGTTCGCAAATACTTGCACGAATCTTGGATTGACCCGGTGATGCGGAACTTGAAGCCCCCCCCCCCCCCCCCAACTGCAGATTTTGGTTCAAGCCAGACCCAGCAATGCACAGTCCCACCGGAAGCCCCAAACTTCCAAAACTGCATTCGCTCCAAAGCCACTCCACTGCTCTTCCAAATGGTGCGCCATGTAATTCTTAGGCTTTCGCGAAACGTCCTGCTTCCAGGGCATAATGCCAGCTGGTGTCCTTGAGGGTTTGGGGTGCGTTTGGGTTTCTGCATTCAATGTTGAGACTTCAGGCCCTGTTGAACGAAGCTGAACGATGCATCAGCGCAAATTGGCGGTAGTTTTTGTGCACGGAGAGGTATGTAGCTGCTTGACGGGCAACCCGGCATCCATTCCACCAACGCAATCGGTCAGAAGTAAGGTTTACGAAGTACATTGTTTGGGGTGGCACCCCCCGCCCCCCCCCCCCCCCCCCCCCCCCCCCCCCCCCCCCCCCCCCTCCCCCCACCCGTCACCCGTTTGGAAATGTTGCCTCCCGTTGCAGACTACAAAATGCCTTGAGGATGTGCTGGTCAGCGATTTGGGCAAGGCTCACTGCAACTCCCAGTGCCTTTGTTGTCATTTGTTCCTATAATAAATAAACAAACCGCTTTTTTCACCTTTATCTATATATATATATATATGTATGTATATATACATATTTGTATGTATGTATATCTGTATAGTTGACAAGGCTTAGTCAAGGAATTCTGCGCGTTCGTAAGTTTGCAAACGAGTCGTTGCTCGGATAAAGATGCAGCAAGAATTGTTGACTGCCGCCAGAGTTGTGTATTTCGAAGCCACGCAGCACGTGATTGCAAACTCTCCACAACTTCAATCCAAGTTCGGAGATTTGACAGATGATGATCATGGCGGCCAAACAGAATACTTTCAATCAAAGTGCCTGGACAGCTTAAGCTGCTTAGGCTTCCTTAGCTTCGCCCAATCCCCTGGATGTCGCATCTTCTGGACCCAGGTGCATTGTCGAGGCCACCCAGAGCGAAACTTCCACATCCGAGACAGCTGCTCCGCTGATATGAGAAGAACTTTGCAGAAATTGTTGTTCAACGTGTTTAAGAATCTTGTGGTAATATGTTGAATGATTCAAAGCGTCCTGCTGAAGTTCCTTACTGCTGTGAGATGGGACGATCACTGAGATGGCTTTCGGCTGCGGGGCCTTCACGGATTGAAGGTGTGGGCTATCAGGGTCTTTTCCACATGTCCAGACGTGGGCGGCACTCATGGGGGCCACATGCCGCAAACTCCAGAAGTCGCTTGGGGAACCCTACGAATCCGCACGAGGCCTGCTCACTCTTGTCAGGGTGACGCAGGCACCGGGGCCTACCTTAATCTACCGCTGAGGGGGCACTGCGCCCCCTACCCTTCAAGGTTTTGCGAGAAGCGCCAGCTTGTTGTGCACCGACAGGCTTGCACGGCTTGCGTGCCAGTGCTTTCCACGTGTGGAAAGCAGAAGTGGAGCAACATTTGCGGCATGAAACCAAATCGTTTTTACTATCAAGAAACAAGTCATGCTGCGAAGAAATTTTAGAAATCTCCAGGCACAAAGTTTGCCTCTTACGATCAGCCTCCTGAGAGTTGCCGGTGCAAAGTTGCGTGTAAATCTGAGTTTTCCAATCCATGCGTCCACTTTTGTACTGCCACTTCTTAGTGCAAACAGTACAGCATATGCAGCCTTTAACATCGCCATTCCAGGTAAGTGTGTGCCCACCAGGTTTCTTATCTTCCCACTCCTTCACGAGAAGCTCACGCGTCTTGTTGCAGCGGCTGAGCGAAGCCGGAGTAGCACGTACTTGGCTGAGATCATTCCCACGACAAGAAGATTGCATGAGGCGCGAACGCTGCCTAGCAACACAAACGCGTTTGCAAACACTGCACTGCAGTTTGTCATTAGAAAGTCTAACCAGCTGGTGCAGAAGAAAGGCGGTTTTATCGCATGTTTCTTCAACAGGAACATCTTCCGAATCTTGGGCAAGTCGATTGTCAGTCTGCGGAGGGCGGTCAGGCGCATCACGCGCACTTTGCGAAGCCACTGCAAGGCAACATTGCACAAGGATATCAAGCATCATCTGCTGTATGCGCCTGACATGCGGTTTCCACACCTCAGCACCTGTTTCAGGCAAAAGCCCACAGACCGACAAGCAAACAGGCATGCTGTCGGGTTCTGCAAGCACAGGAGCACGGAGGTATTGCCATTGCGGGCAGACCCACCAGCGGTGGAACACGGTCTCGCCCGAGGAACAGGAACAAAACGGGCATGTCCCAGAGGAAGCACCTCGGGATTTATGTCGCTCCCTTCTTTCGGTTGCATTGACGGCACCGGATAAAATTGCACGAAGGCAAGCTCTCTGATATTCAGTAAGATGAGCTTTGTCATTATGCAATTGCATGGAAACACCACGGTCAATACCGTGTTGTATGCCAGACATGTCCTTGCGGCGTGAAGCAGCTTCCCGCCATTCACGCCTGCGTATTGCATCACGCAGCTCATGCTGAATCAGGTCGTTGCCGGCATCCCCACTGCGAGGGCACGTCGGCAGGGGCAAAGATTTGTTGCTGTGAGTTTTAACTCTGCGGAGTTGAGGCCAGGACCAGCGGCAAGAGGCAAAAAGTTTCCTAATCCTAGTGACGGGCCCTATAACCTGCAAAGAACGCCTACCTAGATCCCTGGTGAGATTCCAGGAGGAATGTGCAAGTTCAGAAGCTTCGCCATTTTTGGCGAGCATGCGCAAGAGCGCTTGGAATGCGCTGTGCTCCGTGACCTGAACTGGGTCAACCTTGTGGCCTTTTAAGAAAAGGGTGAAAGCAATTTCTGCACAAGACAAGTTTCCGGCTCCACGCCAGATACCCTGAAGGGCTGAGCGACGAAGCGAGTTAAGCACATCTGCAGGCAGACTACGACCAGCTTGGCCGTAGATGAGGGGAGAAAGGGCTCCAATGCCAGCACAAGTTTCTTTACTTTCAAAATCAAGCGGTGCGTACCTCAAGCGATTAAGCCTTTTCCTAGTCTTTTTAGCACTTTTTAGAGCTTTGGAAGTTTTGCCAGTGCTTCCTTTCTTCGCCTGCGCCATGACCAGAGTCACACCAAGCATGTCAACGTTACTCTTAACGGCCAGCTTGGAGCCATTAAGGGTAACGTTGGCAAGTTTCTTTCGCTGCGGGAGCGACACGGCAAAGCAATGGCTTTTCTCAACACTGATCAGTCGCTTGGGGAACCCATGGGAACCCCAAACGTGCCAACTGATCATCTGATCCTGTTCGTGCCGGGCCATGATCAGAAGCCATATGCCATAAAGTTACAAAGTCACTGACCTCGAGCTCGACAGCGGGCTGCAGTGGGTCACACCGTCGAGTATGCCAGGGGCAGAAGGCGGTCTCTGCCTGGGAGAATCATGGAATGAAAGCGTTCACCTGCTACGCAGATCGTACACAGTACTTGGAATGGCCTGCGGTCCAGGCAGTGTTACGTGACCAGCTTCGTTGAAATCCACTCAAGCGCACCCTGCGAAAAGATTTCTTGTCACCAATTTTGAGGGATCTTTCCTCTTTATTTCCGGCCGGGCAACTCAATATTCAGCTCAAGAACCAGAAACTCCTGAGAGTCAGGCAGCACAAGGTTCCTTTTCTGACTCAAAGCAAACCGCACAATCGCAAATTTGCGTGTAGAGGGTGAGAGGGGAAAGCAAGAACACAGACAGCTAAGTATAGCCTATCTAGCCGCGAAAGCCCTCCTAAACCCTAAGCCCTAAACCCTAAACCCTCAACCCTAAACCCTAAACCCTAAACCCTAAACCCTCCTTGAGCCCAAGAAGTCTGAGGATGGCATTGATCAAACGAGGGCGATGCGGCAAGCGATCTTCTGTCCCTTAGGGCCGGGTGAAGTTCCCCATCGGTACCGCGGCATGCTCAGAGGGGGGTTTAGGGTTTAGGGTTTAGGGTGTAGGGGGGGTTTAGGGTTTAGGGCTCAGGGGTGCAGTGTTCGGAGGGCGCTGGAGGGTTTCGCCGAAGCCTCGACGTAAACCTCGGCGTGGCAGAGGGCATGCAATGGCTCTCAGGGCTCGTGCTGTAGCAGGTTTGGGCTGCTTGTGTTGGGGATGTGGGCTTTCGTACCTATTCATTAGCACCTGGGCTGGAATGTGAGAACTTGCTTATGCCACTCCTCGTGGTCAGCTGCGCCAGAATGCTCGACCCGAAGCCCCCTCGGATTTGTCACGAAAAGCAGCGTCTCGTGCAGCCACCCCAGTTGCAACTTCTGCAACATCACGTCGGCTGGCTGTGGGAAGGCATTTGCGCATTGTTGCTAAAAGGTGGCGAGTTTGATTAAGCCCAAGTTGTGTTTGTCCGCAGTTTGTGTGCCATGGTGCATGCCATCAGATACATACATATGTACATGCACACCAACACAGGGTGAGTAGTTCAACACACGAAGCCCAAAACCAAGCTGAGCTCCAACTCCCAGTCCCTAGTAGTCCCTGAAAGCGTCTTGAGTTTCCTATATATCCTTTTCTCCAGGCACAAGTTCTACAAGGTGACCTGGCAGCAGTTTGTGACCAGTATGACCTGTCTGCTGCTGCTTTCGTAGATCCTCCGAATCCCCAACATCCTGCGTCCATGCTCAAAAGGCCCCTAGTTGCCCCTATATGGGGGTTTACGAAAATTAGGGACCCTTAGTATAGACCCCCAAGTTGTAGGATTCCCCCCAATAAGGTACCCCTAGTTTCGACACCCCCACATCCCTGATTTATAGAAGACTTCCAGCACCTCTTCAGGCCATCCTAGCCGGCTGCATTCCAGTACTTTTCGACTTCCCATCGTACTTTCCAGAGCAGAGGTGGGGGCAGGGGCCCGGGAAAGGTTGCCTGCGCACATCTACGCACTCGGATCCCATAATTAGTCGACCGAGACTGTCGAATGCTGAAACTGCGGTTTGGGGTGAGAGCTTGGTCAGTGGGGGCTTCTGCATATATGCGCGGATTCCGTTGCGTGAAGGGGCTGGGTTTGTGCTGGCACCCCGAAGCCCTTGACCTCCCGAGCCGAACCTCCCCTCCCTTGGGTTTTAGAAAAGCCTCGGCCTTTTTGGGCTGAAGACAACAACTCCAAGTCCTCACCCTCAAGCCCTGGGCCCCTTGCCCCCCAAAGGAAAGAAGGCAGCAGAACCGCATACCAAAAGCAGGCAAACAGAAACCCTAAACCCTAAACCCTAAACCCGTCTGCCCTGGCAGGAGTTGGTGGAAAGAGTTTGGATCTCCCTACCAGCTGTCGATCCCATTTGTGGAGGCTTGAGAGTTGTATGTGAGGAGGAGCTTAGAATCGGGCTTGCTTCCAAAGCCTCTGCACATTGAAGATGTTGAGCTTCAATAGTTGAGAAAAGGCAACTCACGAGTTCCAATTGTCATGTAGTTCGTTCGGGGGATGTTGAGTCTGTCTTTGAGCAAGAGAATGCAAGGGATGGACATTGCGGTACGGCCCACATGGTGAGCCTAGCTGGCCAAAGGAGTGGCGAACAGGACGTTCCAAGTCCGAAGAGCTGCACATCTTTAGTCACTTTTGCCCAGTCAAAATCAGGGTCATGCCCTGCGCTTCCTGTCGCCGCAGGTGATTCCCTATGAGGATTTTGCCAGAAGCCCAGCATGTTGTGATTTGCTCAGGTATTGGGCAGCATCGGCATGGTTGTGACATGATGCTTCCCAGGACGAAAGCCTTTGAACCCGAAAGCCTTAAAGCCCTAATACCCCACTATGCCCAGAGAGGGCTCCCCAAAACGGAAGCGCTGACGTGCCACCTCACAGTTTCCTGAACCGATGCCAGGGTTCTCCTTGGTAGGACCTTAAAAGGGAACCCCTTCTGAACCCTCTTCTGGCTCTCTTAAAAAGGGACCTTATTCAGAGGGTCTATATCCCCAAGGGTCCCCCTAATCCTATCCCCTAGGTTCTCGTTGTCTTCAGGGCATCTTTGCGCAAGCAGCCGTGGGATGCAGTGTACCTTTCAAGAGGCCATCGCACCCTGGGCCCTCCAAGGCCCTTGAGCCCGAAGTCCTTTGTGCTCTGCACCGCTCCAGGACTCTGAACCTTAAACCCTAAGCCCCAGGTTGTGACAGTCCCTTGCACCGACAACTACACGCAGTCCGCGCTGGACATGCTTTGGAAGATGCGCTCCATGTCGGCCAAGGAGTGCCTGTGGCGTCCGTGTAGGGTTTTGGAGACATACCGGGGGGGGGGGGGGGGGGGGGGGGGGGGGGGGGGGGGGGGGGGGGGGGGGGGGGGGGGGGGGGGGGGGGGGGGGGGGGGGGGGGGTTAGGGCTTCGGGCTTAGGGCTTAGGGCTTCGGGCTTAGGGCTTAGGGCTTAGGGCTCTAGGGCTTAGGGCTTGAGGGATGGCTTGGCTCGGCCAGGAGTAGTGAGCGGCCGAAGTGCAGCCACGAACCAGCCCAAACACACATCAACCAAGCGGAGATTGTGTGGGCTGGTGGTGTCTTTAGTAGGGTTTCTGTCATATTTGGGGTTGTTAGGGTATCTAGGGGCTATATTCAGGTATAAGGGTGACAGTTAAAGAGGCCGCCGGCCTGCATAAAGCAAAGAGTTCGAACCCTCAAAATTACTTTACTTCGAACATCCCCACCCTCTCTTGGTAGAGATACTCTGGGGTTGGGCACTCCAGGGACATTCCGGGGCTGGGCACTCCGGGGGCACTCTGGGGTTGGGCATTCCAGGGAGAGACTGTTAAGTTTTCGCACTCCAGGCTGGGCACTCTGGGGACACTTTGGGTACTTCGACAGATTGTGGGTGGGGACTCTGGGACTGGGCACTCCGGCGACACTCTGGGGTTGGCACTCCAGGGGAGACTCTGGTGCTGGGCATTTCGGGGACACTCTGGGGTTGGGCACTCTTGGGCACTCTAGGGACACTTTGGGGTTGGGAACTCCAGGGATGAGCGAGGAGTAGACCGGGCGAGGAGAGAGTTCCGGGCGAGGAGAAGAGTTGAGTTTAACATCTAACAACCCCACTCCGAGGGTGGGGAACAACCTCGCCGACCTATGATGGGCTTCTCAGTTCCCGCAGAAGCAGGAGAAAAATCACCCCACATGCAGAGCAAGGGCCGTTTAGTCTTCGCGCCGCCCTCTGTTTTGCAAGCCCTCAACTTCGAACACTGCAGAAACTTGGCAACATATCACTGGAAGGAGATTACTCGGCGACAAGACTCTATGCGGATACTTGGCTCCACATGGGCAAGCATGCGTGTGCCGAGTTGGAGTCTGTTGCAGCTCAGGAAATGGCGTCACATGTTGGCCTTCCGCTGGGATGGTGAAGGGCCCGATGCCTTTACCGCAGCTTGCATGAAGTTGCTTCTTGTGCTAGTCCCGCTACGTGCAATGTGAGGATGATTAATGGAGGGTGCCAGGCGACTTCCACATGCCCTCCAAAGCTCCAAACTCTGCAAAGCCCACCATAGCCGTCCCTGCGAGGCCATCATGCAGCAGATTGGGGTGATCTGGAAAAGAACCAAACGGATCTGAAGGTGTCGGCCCAAGCAAAGGAATATCCGCACCCGAGAGCTAGTGTTCCCCCACTGTGGCGCATTCCCCATTGTTCCAGTATTCCTTATTGCTGCTCTTTTCATGGGGCGCGTGCTACTGTTGCGCATGCATTCTCAATATGTTTTGCAGTACTGGGTTGACTGATCAATGTATCCTGCTATTTAGTAGGGCAAATCAACACCTGGTGTGTCGAACCGTCCAAGCATGAAAGCAGACAAGTGAACCCGTCGATCCAAGCTTGATTTAAGACAAGTGAACCCGTCGAACGAACGGAACGAGCGTCTGTGGGTACTCATATTGTATAGCTATTGTAATATTGTATTTATGGGATGGATTGCCAGACTGAGGGGTCACAGTTCAGGATGTTCCCCCCCCCCCATTATACTAACAGTCCTTAACGGGGATTACAGAAAAGCCCAGTTTTTGAACGACAGCGGTCAGTTGAATGTAGGTGTGACCATGTTGCATGGATACATATGGGCCTATGGGCATATACATATCATCTATATATATATACACATGTATGTGATGCAGGCTATTTGTTTTGGTTTGTTTTCGTTGTTTCATTCAAGGCTTGCTATGTTGTCGCTAAGACAGATTGAAATTTGTCACACAACCAGCCAAAATGTTCAACCCTAAACCCTAAACCCTAAACCCTAAACCCTAAACCCTAAACCCTAAACCCTAAACCCTAAACCCTAAACCCTAAACCCTAAACCCTAAACCCAAAGCCCAAAGCCCAAAGCCCAAAAGCCCTAAACCGGTCTATATTGCTGTTGCATACAAGTTCAGGTTGGCGTTGCTTGCGATTTGTACTGGTATTGTCTGAACGGTGCTGGCCATGTGCCTGAGTCCTTCTGGAGACAGATTTTCTCTCAAAGTCTTGGATGGACGCTGCTTGCGATGTTCATGTGCAGTCTTTTTCGGGGATTTGCTTATCCGAATGTTGGGCATGTTGCTAGATCAGGATTTCGTGCAGGACTGGGAAGCGAAGAAATTCGGGGAAGCTGCATGAGCTCGTATGGGCTCAAAACCCCAAACGTACAGACACAGTGGCCGGTTCGACACCACAACGACCTGCATCCTAAACCCTTCATCCTAAACCCTAAACCCTAAACCCTAAACCCTTGAGCCTTCTGGAGATGACATTTGCACGACTCAGGTGCTCCCTTGGCTCACGTCGTGGGCAGATGAACCTGTTGGCCCTCAACTCCCGGAGTGTGCCGAGTCGCAGCCAGGTGGAGGGGCTCCTGGAATCCCCTCAACCCTTAGCCCTAAACCCGAAACCCTAAACCCTAACCCCTAAACCCTATCACCCTATAACCCTAAACCCTAAACCCTAAACCCTAAACCGAATAAGCCCCAAACCCTAAACCCTAAACGAAGGTTTTGGGCGCTTTCGGCTTTGCCTTTCGGCTTTGGAGCAGCGGCAGTGTCATGTCAAATGGAAGCGTGTGTGTTTTTTTGCAGGTGTTTTCGGATCGTCTTGTGCTGCTGCTGTTTTGTTTCCAAGAGCGCGGGAGGCTGAGGCAACAAAGTGGCTCCGGAGGCCTGGCCATTCCTGGAGGACTCACTATATCCCCCTTGGGAATTGTTTTTTTTTTGCTCGTATGAAACCCAAGAGGATATTTAAAATGTAGTTCTTATTAAGGTTCTCAGGGGAGTATAGTTGTGAGTCTGTGTGTGTGTTTGTTGGTTAATTGTGTCCTACAAGTTAATCGGAAAGCAAGAGACGCCTTTGCACCACAGACCACAGGCGCGCTCGTGCTGGGTTCAGGACAGGTCTCAGCAGGTGCTTGTGATGGCGCCAGGTAGTGTTCTGCCAAGCGACGAAAGACGGAGAGTGCTAGTTGCGGCAGCCGGGGGCGAAATGGAAACGATGCGCGTGCGCGTTTCACTTTGAATGCGTTCTCTCGCCCATACGAAACAAGCCATGACTCGAAACAAGTCGAAACTGTCCCACATGGCTTGTGGATCGCAGGTCCGGAGCTGTAGTTGCTTACCCCCATAAGTTGTAGACAATGATAGACCGGGAAGGGAGCATTCATCACGGAATAGGGTTTTTCGACGTATAAGTGGGCTGGTTATGTTTTATAGGCTGTGTTACAAGAGTGAACTGCCGTGTAGACGGGAGATGTAGTTATGTAGTAAGTTTTGTTGTCTTTTCTCCACAACACATCCGAACAAGCTACTAACAACGTTTAGCAGCCAATATGCACAGCGGTTTGGAATCTGTGTTTCTGGCATGGTCACACAGAAGTGCAAGGTTTTGCTTGGTATTAGCACTCTTCAGAACTGAACTCGGGTGGTCGTTCCTTTTTTGGGGCACGTGTCGCCGGGGGTCGCAGACAAACGGAGCCATCGTGGAGCGTCCTTGTTGCTGTGGCGGCCCAGCCAGGCTGCCGGCAGGCAACGGCAAGCTTTCATATGGAGCAAGCTGGACAAGACTTCCAGGCATCATTATTATTATTATTATTGTTATTATTATTAGAAAATATAATATTACTACTATTAGTATTATTGTTATTGTTATTGTGATTGTTATACATTTTTGTTATTATTTCACTGCCAGCAGGCGACCGCGGCTAAAGGCGGCGTGCCCGCACAGACAGCCACAGCAGCACAGAGCAGGTAGGCGCACACAAGCAAGCAAATTGCACTGCGGCGATGCTGCACAAGCTGAAATCACAAACCAGCTAAAGTCAAGGTAGTTTGTTGTGTAGCTTAGCTTGTCGTTTGGGATCCAAGCTTTTCCTATTTTGTGACGTGCATGTCAACTAGGATGTCCATTTCATGCATGTGCAAGGCAACGCGCAATATCGCAGGAATAAAGGTACCAGCGTCATCATTTTCCTACTATACTATGTTGCTAGGATTGTTTGTTGGGTTCCGATATGCTGTCCTTGACTTTTTCAAACTGTCGATGTGCATCTTACTATATGTGATTTTCTACAGAATATATTCATAATATTTCGTATATACATATGCACACAAGTATTCTCAAGCCAGGGGTACTTCAAGTCACATGCGCAAGCAGAACGCAAGTGAAACTTTGTAGATGTGTTTCCGCCCTTCATTCAGTAGCACTCGGAAGGCCCAACATGTTTTGAGCTGCTGCTTTTCTGCTTTGCTCATGTGTAGCCTGATTTAAACAGTGGTGGATTGTTGGTTGCCAGGCCCCTGTTGTCCCGCCGGCATTCCTTGAGAAGGAGGAGGAGGCGTGCGCCACAACATGGTCTGGAGATTGGGTGGCATTCTGACCATGCAGTGCTTTGTCAGGACGAAAGGAGGCGCAGGGAAGTCTGCCAGTACCTCGAGGAGGCCCCAGCTTTTGGTTGAGGGATGGCTGCAGTGCTTTCCTGAGCATGGCGGCGTAGGAGAGACGTCGCAGCTGCTGCCCGCTGTTCTGTGCACTACGGCAGCAAGCGCAGCTTGGCGATGTTATGAGCATGCATTACGAAATGCTAAACCGTGCCAGCAGGAGGAATCCAGCAACTAATTCTGATGGCTTCCACGCAGCCCAGGCGGCCCCTCTACGCCGTCTGCGTTTTGCCACGGCAGATTGAGTTTGTGGTGTAAACAAGCAGGGCTGCTGGTGTGAAGCGTGGCTTGTGCGGTGATCTGGAGCACCTTTCATTATGGATTGAGCTTGATGTACTGATTCGCATGCATGTGTGGGCTTTGCAATGTTGTCATATGTGTAACCGTGGCACAGAGGAAAGGAAACCCTGAGCCCCAGCAGTCCCTTTGAAAGTCCTTTTGAGTGGGATCTCTCTGTGCTGTTGAGGTGGGCACTTCAGCCGAAAAACTCATGGGTTTTGCGAGGCAGCAGATTGCGGAAAGGAAGCTCTCCATGGGGGCCCTGCTTTAGAGAATGAGGGTTTCCATCAAGTCAAAAACTCCCCCAGGTCGGGAGCCATGGCGAGCAAGCTGCCCAATATCGGCCAATCGTTCCAAGGCAGGGAAGCTGAATTATTGATTCGGACATTGTCTCTCACAGCGCAGTACATCCATTGCTTTAGCTAGCAGCCTTTCTAACGTCCGACAGGTGAAACGCCGCAGCAGCCTGGAGCGATGGCACGGCTTCAAGCGGCAAAGCCTGCCGACTGTGACCGTGGTGTGTCGTTTTCTCTACCCGTGCTGTGTTCACAGTTTGCTTATTCCCGCCTGTTGACTGTATTGTTGTGACAGGTTCGCCTTCGATTGGAAATCGAGCATCTCGCGCAGAGACGACTCGATGACGCAGCACGACAGTCTCTGGACGAGCTGGAAGAGGATGACGCGAGACAAGTACTCCGCCAAGTCAAGGAGATTATAACGAGCCAGGGAGGCCAAGCACTCCCATAATTTCCGAACTCAACCTTCCTTTCCAACCAGCACATGATGTCCTCGGTCAAACCAACCTGACTCAGCTTAAGCGCCCCAGAATGGCGGAGATCAAAGGATCCTGACAAATCCTCACTTTCGTCTTCAGATTCGACACCCTCACAGAGCTGACCCCACTCAGAGTTTGTGACATCCTGAACATTGCCCGATCCACCCCCAGAACCATGATTTCGGGATTCTGAACCCTCGGAAACACTTTTAGGGGCAAAGCCAGCAAGTTTCATGACGCACTCCCCCCCAGGTGTCAACCTGGACGCACCATTGAGATCGAAACCCTCAGCCGACAACTCAGCCGCTACAGCCACCTCTTGCACACTACCAGCGCGCAACTCAGTCGAACCCGGCACGACAAGCGCAGCGACTCGGCGTAGTGCAGAAGGAGGTGAGCGCTTTGGCGTCAACCGATACTTTGTCTTAGGAGGTTTCTCGTGACCCGCTGCTAGGGGATGAACAGTATTGGTAAGTCACCTCCTGCATCGACCAACACAAGGTGACCGCCCGACGTGTCCCTGGCCTGCCCTAAATACTTGCCCGGTAGAGTCCGCGATCGCCATTGTTCAGAGTCCCCAGACCGAGCTCTGCTACGCGCGAGAAGCTGCGTGCCAAACGGTATCAACGGTGATAGATCGACCCCAAGGTCAGCGCAGAACTGAATCCAGAACCTCTGAACACCATGTTGCAAAGCCAGGCGCCAGTAATCGGCGCTGAGACCGGCGATGGCTAAAAGCCTTTTATGCCCTGAACAGCAAGTTCCGCTTTCTTGCCCCGCCGGGCTTTCACCCGCCGTCCATGTAGCATGTGTACCCTTGTCCATCAGCCACTGCGCTACGGACGCAGATCTCAGTTCCTGTGCACGGTCCGCGTGGTAACGATGAACCGGGAACCCAGTAGCCTCCAGCTTAGTTATTCACTAGGCCCTGCACCTGCAGAAGAACCTCCTTTCCCTTTTTCGTTTTAAGCGGTACACCCATGAACAGAGTTCTAATACGCTCTGGAGCCGGCGCTTCGACCACGGATTCCTCATCTGGAGGATCAGGATCTTCAGCTCGCTTACCCCGAACCCGCCGATGCACCGCACAGACAAGACTCTCTTCCTCCGTTCAGAGGGGGAGTATCCTGCATCAAGCACATCCGAGGGAAGCGACCCTAAACCATCTGCTGCTTTGGGGACCTCAAAAGGAATCGACCTTGAAGCCTCAGCTCTGGAGACCTCCGAAGGAAGCGACGAAGCTGACTGTTCGCCCACGGATTTACCCGCGGCGTACGCCGCGGTCCTGAACCATCCTCAGGCCTTCCTTTATCCTTTGCAGTCGAAAGTGGGAGACTATACGCACACGCCGAGAAGTACCGATACAACTGGACCACCCCGGGCACGGTGGGATTGTAGTCCAAACCCGACCTATGTCGAAAGGCATCGACCCTAAACCCAATCATAGGAGCCCCGCCCAAGAGAGACAGTAGAGGCATCTATCCCTTTCACTAATTAAGGGGGAAGGCAGCGCTGCCCCAATTTCCTTTGCCCTAGCTTAAGGTTTTGACCCCACCTTCACCGCATCTTTGTGGTATTTAAACGCCTCAGGACTGACTAGCTGAGACAAATGCGCCCTCTCTCTGGCCCCGCTCGGCTGATAGATGCACATGACCCGGAAAAGTATCGACGAGGTAGTCAACCGCCTGTTTGTTATGACATCTTCCTTCAGGTTCGCAGGCAAAGCTGCCAGAAGCAGACGAACCGCCCTACTCTCAACACGCTGAAACAAAACCGAATCAAAAGGAGCAACCACCATACCCGGATCCAGCCCTAAACGCCCAAGAGGATCAGCCGTCAACCACTGATTGTACCACTTTGTTGCCGCAACCTCGACGCAGTTGAACCAAACATGGCGCTGGGGGACAAGCCCTGAAAGATCTGCCTCACTTGGGCCCAGCCAGTTGCCACAAACCACTGCTGAACAAGTTAGATCTGCAGACACCAACTTAGGTAGCTCCTGGATGTACTTGGCGGGTTCCTGTGGCCTATTCCCGAACGCTGGAGCCCCAACATCACCGATACCAAGCCCCAATCTTCCACCCAGACTCCCCTCACCGACAGGGCGATCTTCCAACCGCTGCATCCCGAGCCCCCCACCCATCCCGATGGGAACATTAGGCTGTCGCGGCGAAAGCGGCGGTGGTCCAGGCGGAGGCCGAATAACCGTGCCCCCAGGAGACACAGGATATCCTTCATGATCGAAACCTCTACCGGAATTAATCCCTCCTGACCTAGGCGTGGAATATCCAGACTCTTCCTGCCACCCAGAACCCGCTACCGCAACCCCAGCAAACTGCCTCATAGTCTGAGTTCCTGGAGCCCGTTACTTGACGCTGAACAATTACCTCCCAATTCGGCAAAGCAACATCTTGAGGACACCCGCAACTCACAGGTGGAGACACCCCCGAAGCCTCAAACCGATGTTGATCCATTAAGGAATGACCCTCTAGCGGTTGTGTCGTTGTTGTGATCCTAAAACATCCGGTCCCGATACACCAACCGACCTACAATCAACCCTTCTATCAGGACCTGGGAAATCCATCGCACTAACAGTTGCACACTGCACATCGACGCCACGGTGATCTGGGGCCATCATGAATTCAGAAGATCCACGTCCTACTGCAAACGAAGCTGGCGACATCCATGGCGCAAGTTCCTGTGGAGTTCCTGCACTGTGCCATGAAGACTGTGACTCGACTTGCTCAAGCCTTCGTTTCAGCGCACGGTTCTCTTCAATCACCTGTTCCAGCAAGTACTCGATCCTAACTCCCGGTGCAATGACTGGGATCAGCTCTCGTTGATCGTCACCCTCTGGTCTTCCTCTGGCACTTTGATGAACACGCTGCTCAGCTCCCAAACTGTCCTGAACCTGAGCGTCACAATCTTTCACCCCAGAGCCAGATCCGTCCGCGCCTGCCAAATCCAGCCCAACAGCTTTCCCATTCCTTCCAGGAGAAGTCACGCTGCCGGACGTCTCAACTCTGGCCACGCGTGGAGCCATCCCTGCACTCCTCAGAGGTCCAAGTGATGTCGCGTAGTTCGGTTCCAAGCTCGCGTCTCGGTACGTATCCCCCAAGGCCGCCTCGTTGACCTCAGGACAAAGCCGGCTGGCATCATCCAGAGTGTTCGGCCTTGTTCTCTTCAAGGCAACTTCCGCCTTGACATTTTGGCTATGAAAAGGGCTTGCTATCGGGAGACGTGTGCTCTCTAAGCATTCGGCAGCTTCTCCCGATTCTAACATACCAGGTGATGCATCACCTGACCACGTAGCTCCTCCAGGATTAGCCGCACTAGCGAGTCCCTGGCTCAAGGCTGCTTCATAGTTGTAATCTTGCGGTACACTTCCTTCCTCCTGCTCATCTGCCACGCCCGCCCTTCTTCTTCGGGCCAGCTCTTCCATTGCTCAATGACTACGGAGGTTTGCACTAAAGAACCCAACCAAACTAGCCCAAGAGCAACCTACAATGAATTGACTTATCTTCTTCATTGTTATCATTTTTCTCATCGTTGTTATCATCATCGTTGTCTTCATCATCTTTCCCTAGTGCAACTTTCAAGAAATCCGTCAACTCCTCATAACGCTTTATCAACTTGTGATGTTCGTCTTTTTCTTTATAACATAATTGCTTATGCTTATTAAATGCTTCCAAGTCTTCTTCGTCTAGAATGTCTTTGTAATTATTAGATATTCTATCGGCTTCATCTATCTGAGAAATAAAGTCTTCATAATCACACCTAAGACAATCAAGTTTAAAGTTGTATTTTTTCATATAATTACTCATATACTGTTCTCATTACTAATGTATTACATCATTTTGTTTTTAAGTGTCTTTAAGTTAAAATAACCATCATATTAACATTTATTTGTATTAATATTATGGTTAGTCTTCTTCTTCAAATATATCACATAAATAATCATATATACCCTTAAAGTTAAAATGGTTTCTGTAAAGACCTACTTGTTTCTGAAAACAAATGAAAAAGATTGCAATCATAATACGATATATTGGTTCTTCAAATTTATTTCTATAGTTGTAAGTCTCTCCATAAAAATCCCATTCATCATGTATACAATAAATATTATAATCCAACAACCAAAACTTTCTATAATCATCAATCATTTTTATGTTCCTTGTCTCATTCACGAACTTTTTCAATAATGGTTTTAACTCAGTTTTTGATTGATATTTTTTCGATCAAAAACAGCCTCAGCGTCCATGTGTCATCCTTGCGCAGGGGCCAATGCCTCGCTTCACGCATTTAGGGTTTAGGGTTTAGGGTTTCGGGGTGAAAAGGAAAGGGGCTTTTGGGAGCTGTGATTTGAGGGTCTGGTTGCAGTTAGCTGCAGTGCTTGAAGGGCTGGAAGCCTTGAAGACGTTGACTTCTGTGGCCTGTGATAGGGGGTTCAAAGGGCTGCCGGAAGACTATGTGTTCATTAGTTCACTTAACATTCGGATGTCGCAAACGTTGACCGGTTGAGACTCTGCGCCGTCAGTTTAGCGAGAAGTTTTCAGGAATCGATGACCATGTCTGCTTGGAGGGGTTCTTTCTCCTTTCTTGAGTACAGCCACCAGCCTGTATCCGAGAGGTGTTAAAACTAGGGAATCGTTGAGACTGAGGTCTGGGTAAACACAGGGAATGTTTAGGGCAGACCGAAGGCTTCTCGTACTTTCTTACGCAAGTTTCTTGCTGCCCTAAACACTGCGGCAAAAAACGCGGCGGGTTCACCGCGAGACGCCGAGGGCATTGATAAATCTAATCCAAGTACGAGTTAGGACAAACTCCTTGTGCGGCCACGCCATGGCTCCGGCACATTGCCGGCATCAGCGATGGCCCGCTTCTTGCCGGAGATTCGACACACTTCTACTTAAATCGCACAAACAATCTTCAAACCACAATACTTACATCTTGCACGCATGTGACCTCAGCCTTGTTCTACCGATTGTACCGTGCCCGCAACGTTGAAGAAAGTTGCATCCGGTTAAAACGAGCAACATGTGGAGGTGGCTTTACACACAGAGCGAAGCCCAGAAGCTGTTGCACGCAGTGCTTCAGCTTTGAGTCTTCCAGGCGGTTTGGCTAAAGAGTGGAACCTACTCGATACCGGTAGAGAACACACAAGAGCCATTAGTTCAATGGCTTCTGGGAGCACGCAGCGCATAACACTTCAATGCCTTGCCCTCAACCCCGAACTCAGCAACCCTAAGCGAAGCCCTGCAAAGTATCGAAGGAAGCTCTCCTCGGGTCAGAGTCGGTGGCCTCCTGCTTCAGGTGCGGCCTCCCCGACCCCGAACACGCAAGTGCGGAAGCGTGTGTGGTGGCGTGCGTGATGAGAGGGGTTACATGCACAACGGACTTGGGGGCTCATAGGGCCTCAGGGGGGGTAGGATGGGGACGTCTCTTTTTGGATTGCCTGAAGGTCTTAGGGGGTTTAGGATGGGGCCTTCACTAGCTGCTGCAAGAGTTTCTAAGTTCAGAGGTGCCGCAGGACCCGAAGCCAGCAGGGTTTAGGAAGTTGAGGGATGAGGGGTTTCTCAACCAAACCACCCAAAGCCCCTAAAGTGCCACAGTCTCACGGTGTCAGTGCCTCTCTAGAGGTCTATAAACCCAAGCTGCAACCCCACAAGTGAGGTGGCAGTTTGGTGCGTCGGCCCATGCCATGGCATCGACCTTCCCGTGCTCACTGCGCGGGAACATCTCCCAGGCGACTTGCACTTGAAACCCAATAGACTCCGATCCCGAACCACCTTTGACCCCCTGGTTCTTAGTAGGGAATGAGGGAATTAGTGGCCTATGTACATATATACATATATATATATACGTATACATACACATATACATATAGATCAACCCTTTCAGGCATTATATAGGGTACCTCATTCCGAATCAGACCCTTACCTCAAGCCATTTGCGCTTGGCGGCCGCTATCCGTGAGCTATCGCATCAGACACGGTGCCCTCAACACGTCTAGCTTTAGTCGAGCAGCCTTAGCACTCAGCCTGCAGAATGGGGGGCTTACGATATTAGGGGTACCTTATTGGGGTCCTTATCATATGGGATCTCAGTACGACTCGGGGTCTATGTTCAGGGTCCTTGTTTATCGTAAACCCCCGAATCTTGCACCCTAAACCCTAAACCCCAAACCCTAAACCCTAAACCCTTGCAGGCATTACACCGCAGACGGAGGCCGTCCAACTCACTGGCTTCCTTGCGGCGTCGGGCAGGGCCTCTCGCCTTCGTCAAGTTGAGCTTCTGACCCTCAACCCTAAGCCCTAAGCCCTAAACCCTAAACCCTAACCCCAAACCCTAAACATTAAACACAGGATGAGCACCAGGGCAACTCTAGACAACACTTGCAAACTTTCGGAGCCTGACGTGGGCATTAGGGGGTACCCCGTTTATACCCCTACATAGAATATAGGTTCCCTTAAAGGGACCCCTAAAAGGGTACCCCTGCTTTCTTTGCTTTTTGGGTTTGCTTTAGGGGGGAATCCCCCTTTGAGAGTTAGTGGGGCTTAAGCCTGAAAGCTCTTGAATTCTGCAACAGTTGAACCCTAAACCCTAAACCCTAAACCCTAAACCCTAAACCCTAAACCCTAAACCCTAAACCCTAAACCCTAAACCCTAAACCCTAAACCCTAAACCAAAACCCTAAACCCTAAACCCTAAACCCTACCCCCTACACCCTACACCCTACACCCTACACCCTACACCCTACACCCTACACCCTACACCCTACACCCTACACCCTAAACCCTAAACCCTAAACCCTAAACCCTAAACCCTAAACCCTAAACCCTAAACCCTAAACCCCAAACCCCAAACCCCAAACCCTAAACCCTAAACCCTAAACCCCAAGCCAAGGCCTTGTGGAAGCTGAAGAGACTGGGGTTTGAAGGTGTCGTCGAAGAGTTGGCGGAGAGGCCCGCTTGGGGGGAGAGAGTGATACGTTGATACTTTGGCGAATTCTATTCAGCTTAGGGAGCTTAATTTTTGGGTACTATATTTCCTAAGAAACAGCTAAAATGGCAATTTCTGCTAGGGTCCAAGCTCAGTAGAGTGATTCTGGTGGAAGCAAGAGGTGCAGCCCGCGGGATGCCTCCCTTCCCATCCCTGTTAGGGTAGTTCCATGGGCCCTGAATATGGGCATCATATACCCCTTCTATACCCTCTACAACCCAGGGGACCATACTTCGGAACCCTCTTAAAGGAGGTCAGGGGCCATAATTAGGGGGGGGCCATGAATCTAGCCTTAGAATCCCTGGAAGGAGGATTGTGCTGCCGGCGGAGGTTGTGACGTCGTCCTGTGAGGATGCTTTCATGACTGGCTACTACAAGAATCTCAGCCTCTTGGACTGGGAGTGTAGGGTTCAGGGTTTAGGGTTTCAGGCCTTTGAGGTATAAGTCTCAAGGCTGTGCGATTTTGAAGCAGAGCTTGACAAGGTGGGGTTAAGGACTTGCTCAACTGGCTAAGCTTTTCAGAACTCTTTACCAGCTAAGTCTCGGGACTTAGTCCTTTGTTCAGGCTTGGGGCTGTAGATTCAGAACTCCGGACTTGGACGGTTTGGGATGTAAGGCTTCAAAGTCAGAGTGCATTGCTTTATGTGCGCTGGCCGTGTGATTCTGTTCATAACGCTTGTAACTGCGCCGGTAAATCAAGCAAATAGACAAAGGCAAGAAGATAGGTACATGGAGTTGGCGCAATAGCAAGATTCGCGGGTGCGCCTGGAACACTAGTTCAACCCGTGAGCTCACTGATTTGTTTTTCATGCAACGTTCATTGCATTCAGTTCTTGCAAACTCACTGCTTCATTGTCCTCCAAATGATTAGACACGCCCGTAGACCTTTGCCTTTAAGGAGTGTATGTATTATGTATCTGTATCTGTTGAGTCGTGAAGGCAACAGCAAGGATGGGAGAATGAGGGTGTGACCGAAAGAAGCGAATGAGCTGAGCACCAATTGCATCAGAGGTATGGAACGTCAACCAGCAAGAGTCGATTCTGAGGGTGTGTTCCTTCATGACGGGTGTTTGTTGAGGGGTGGCCAGGAATGAATCTGCCAGTGTTACAAGGTACCGTGGCCAAGGCTGACAGATGCGATGGATTCCAGGGTGGTTATCAAGCAGCTTCTTAGAGATCAGTTCAACCGCAGCACCCATCAGACCTTGAGCTGTTATCGCCTGGTCTGGATAACGCTGGTCTTTGCATGAGTCTTACTCTGGAGCGTGGGCTAGAGCCATGAGTCTTCTGTCTTCATCTCCCCCGAAGCAAGAGAAGCCCATGGTAAAGCTGGAAAGTGGGTAGGTAGGTAGTTGGCCCTTCCTGCTTTGCGATTGACCGCTTATTTTTCTGTGGATGGGGGGGGAGGGGGGGAGGGTTCCGAAAGCAAGGTGCGCGCGTCCACAGCTTCGGGTTTCCGATCTTCAACATGGACGAAGAGAAGGAGGCTGGTCCCGGAAGGTAGGGTTGCAGTGTTGTGCGTACCCGGTGCTTGGTTGGGATACTCACCCTTATCCTAACAGTCCTTAATCGGGAATATAGTTCCCCCGACTACAGTCCCTTTGAAGGGGCTGTTAGTACAAGGGGGGAACATCCCAAGCTAGAGCTGCCAAGACATGAGATGGTCTTGCCGAACACTTCCATCTTGGGGCCTTCACTCCAGCCATCCTCCGAACTTCCTCCAAAGTCGGCAGCCCTTTCCAGCTTCAAGTGGGTCTTTCTAGAATAGAATCACCTTAAACCCTAAACCCTAAAACCTAAATCCCCTGTGAAGGAACCCCCCCCCAAGAAGGGTACCCCTATCTTCGGAAACCCCCAAGTCTCCCTGGGCTCGCAGAGTCGAACCATTGAAATTTGTCGATTGGGTTTAGGGTTTAGGGTTTAGGGTTTGGGGTTTAGGGTTTAGGGTTTAGGGTGTAGGGTTTAGGGTTTAGGGTTTAGGGTTTAGGGTTTAGGTGTAGTCTCCAGGTACTCGCTGACTCCAAGCTCGAGTCTCAGTGCACGTGGTTTAGGGCTTGAAGGGCGGAAAAGGTTTTTCACATGTTTTCAACGAGTGACTTGACACAGCTTTCACATGCACTTTGAGCACCGAGTTTGCGCCAGTGTTGGCGAAATCCAGATCGATGTTGGACTGCTGTGGCACCGCAGCTGCACAATAATTGAATTGTGGCTTCGCACCATATTTGAATGGTGGCTTCGAACTATTGAATTGAGGGACCTGGAGAACTTTATGTTGTTCCTCTCATGGCTGAGCCACGATCTATGAGCGGGGCTTGCAGCGAGAGCGCGAGATGTCGGTTGGTCGGCAGAACTGTTGTGGCTCGAGAGTCGGATACTCGGGGAAAATGCCATTCTTGCTCCTTAAACCCTAAACCCCAAACCCTACACCTAAACCCTACAGCCTGGTCTTAGGTTCGGCTGGACTACTTCGAGCTCCAGCAAATGGAGGAGGTGCGCGTTGCATCTGGCTTGATTGTATCTGGCCCCCACCTGCCAATCCGCGTCAAGAGGCACCCCCAGAAGTCCTCAAGCTAACCTGAAAGTTCTCAACCCCGAAACCCTAAAACCCTAAACCCTAAACCCTAAACCCTAAACCCTAAACCCCTAAACCCTAAAGCCTGAAAGCCCTACGCCTTCCTGGCTTCCTTGCGCCAGTTGTTTTACTGGGCCATCTCGGGGAAAGGCAAGCTGGGGCCGGAGCCGAACTTTGGCTTGAAATAAGGGCTTAGGGTTTAGGGTTTAGGGTTTAGGGTTTAGGGTTTAGGGTTTAGGGTTTAGGGTTTAGGGTTCAGGGTTTAGGGTTTAGGGTTTAGGGTTTAGGGTTTAGGGTTTAGGCTCAGGGATGTCAGTGTTTCATGCTGCTCATGCACCTGGGGTTCTATGATTTTTTTGGTTGGGGGGGGGGAGCAAGCACTTCTGCGTTTGTCTACAGCTGCAAGTCGGGGCTTTCGATCTGAAGGCTATGAGAGTAGATGCTATCCACCATGGGTAATGCCTTCGAACTAGTGAGAGTGGTGCAGCCTCCACAGAGCCAGAGCACGAACAGTTTACTCTTGTCGCATTCGGCACGAGATTTCAGACCGCGCACGCACAGATTTCCAAAGCACCTCGCAACGCCAAGCCGCAGCCCCTCCACAGCCCTCAAAAGTTTAGATGTCTATAGGGTTTAGGGTTTAGGGTTTAGGGTTTGCACCTTCACACCAAATCTGAACTCCCACATCCCAGATCTGGCTCTGCCACGCTGCTGCTCTTGCTACCGCCAGCTTGTGCTTCGACTCTATGGGTTGGGATGTTCCCCCCCCCCCCCCTAGACTAACAGCTCCTTCATGGGGATTCTAGTACAGGGTTTAGGGTTTGGGGTTTAGGGTTTAGGGTTTAGAAACCCTGTTATAATCCCGCCTCTGAAGGAGCTGTTAGTAAAGGGGGAGCATCTCAATGTATAGCAGGAGCTCAGGGTCTGGAGAGTCAAGTGCTTGGGCTTCGAGAGTTGCATGTAGGGAAGGTCAGGGATACAACCTGCGACTGGACAAGGGTTTAGGGTTTAGGGTCCAGGGTTTAGGGTTGAGGGTGTTTCTGAGGGGATGTTCTGTTAGTGCGGTGATGATTGCTTGGACATGGAGAGCTGGACGACTAACCCTTCCAATGTGCATGTCCATCGAAACAATGTATCTAGCGTATCTGGCTCTCGGACAGACATGGCAGGCCCTTAGGTAGAACCTTGATTGCGCAGGTATGGTGGAGGACGCTCCGGGGGTCCTGAATTTGGGATTCGAGGGTTTTCGGGCTCAGGCGGCTAAGGCAGCTAAGGCGTGTACTTGTAGGATTCAACTGGCTCAGCAAGTGAGCATTCGAAACCGCAAAATCGACCAGCTCTGGCTCGTTCTTATCGCGGATGATGTTTCCGCTCTTCATTCAGTAGCACTCGGAAGACCCACGTTTTTTGAGCGGCTTCTTTTCTGCTTTGTTCATGTGTACGGGAAGGTGAGCTGAACATGATTGTTGTTGAGCCGGCTTGTGCACGGTATGTAATACAATGGAAAACATGAAGCCCAGTGCCAGACAGTTGCGTCTTTGGAGTGCCTGGAAATAAGGATGTACTCGCAGCCAAATGTTTTCTTGCTGGTGTTCATTGCTGCGAAACCTACGTATCACTACACTGACAGGAGCTGCTTAGCGTTTTGGGGCTTCACGGTGCCATGCAGGCCCTAGAACACTTGGAGTGTAGCTACTTTAGGGCTTCTACACTGGCAACCCGCCACTTCAGGCTCAGGCTTTAGAGTTGGGATGTTCCACTTTACACTAACAGTCCTTAACAAGGATTATACGATTCATCCCTATTGTAGTAATTTAGCGGTACTATTCATCCCCATTATAGCAATCAGGTGGGGACTCTTCATCCCTATTAAGGGAGCTTGTTAGGAAAAGAGGAGACATCCCCAACTTGAAAGTCTTTAGGTCGAGCCTCCCTGTGAGAGGCATGCATCGATCCAACAAAAAAAGCAATCCCGTGGACTAAGCGCTAAACCCTAAACCCTACACCCTAAACCCTGAACCCTAAAGCCTAAATCCTAAACCCTAAACTCAACTCGAAATCCCAATTGTTCTTGTATGGGGTTCTTAAGGGAGGGGGGGTAGGTACCTAGGGAACATCTAGGGAACCTTAGGGAAGCTTCGACTCTTAAGAGCCCTATAAGATTCCCACCTCAGATCTCTGACCTTCCAGGACGCGCTGTTGCACATAGCCCCCCAAGTGCTCGAGCTCCGGAGCAGCGGAACACAAGCCCCCGGGCTGAATCTGAGTTTTGGGTTCAGGGTTTGGGTTTGAGGGTTTAGGGATTAGGGTTTAGGGCTAGGAATCGGTACGGACCCAGTCTCGGGTATAAGGGGTCTGGAGTTAGGTGAGGTCCGGAATAGGTCTGGGGAATCCTTCTTTCCAAGATTTTTGGCTGAAACGTGAAGGACTACATCATCATGCGGGCCGCGCTGATAGCTTCTTGGGTGGCCATTGGATAGCCTCACTCCTTTGAACCTCCTGGGGTTTAGGGTTTATAAGGGTTTCGGTTATAGGGTTTAGGGTTTAGGGTTTAGGGTTTAGGGTTCAGGGGCATGGAAAAGTGTTTTTTTCGAGGCAGAGGCGGTTTCGGGTTTCCGGCCCGTGCTTTCTGCGCGATGGTTGAGTCGAAAGGCTACACTTCTTTGTGCGTTAGTCGGGATGCCGCCGATTGTTGACTTCTGTACTGCAGAGGGTATTGTTCGCTCCCAATTGCTGTACATGTCTCCAGCCACTACTTTGTGTATATCGTCTATAAAGTCAGGAATTGAAGCCCGATTCTTGAAGTCACAACACCTGAAGCGCAACGCGCCATCTCAACAACAAGCGCAAAATTAGAGGATCACCTTCTGGAAAACAAATCTGTAGGTCGGAAATCTCAGATTTGCGGGTGGTGCCGGCATTCCTAGCGGGGAGTGGGGATGCTGTGAAGGCTGTCGAAACACTGGGCCTCATACGCTAGACCCGAAAAACCTCACAACGGTGAATGACAGAGAAGACGGCGGCGACCGAAGTGACCGCAAATACCATATCTCACGTCTGCCTCGTCGAGACCCCTTCTCGAGAGATGTGTGTTTGTGGCTTGGTTCGCAGCATCGCACGGCAGAGTTGCCTTGAAAAAAATCTTCCTGCACCCGAAGGAAATCCAACCCGGCTCGTTCGAGCTTCCGCGACAACATCGCAACTTGTCCAGGCCGTGGGAATCGCTGACAGTAGTCCCGAGCGGAAGAGGGTGTTGTTTCTGGAGCGGGATGTATGGTAAGGGCGTAGGACCTGAAGGTGGATTTAGCTTTTCAGGGTGCGAGTGTCTGTTGCTGCCTTGGAGATCACAGATAGGGTTTAGGGTTTAGGGTTTAGGGTTTAGGGTTTAGGGTTTGGGGTTTAGGGTTTAGGGTTTAGGCTTGAATGTTCCAGGCTCTTTCATTGCTTCAGGCTATTTCAGGCCATTTCAGGCCATTTTCGGCCCATCAGGCCCAGGATTTAGAGCAAGACGCGCGCTCCGAAGCCCTCGGCCCGCCAGGGTGATTCCGCCGTATCCTGGCGGCGAGCCATACTCAGAGGCCCGACTGCGCGTGGGGAGAGTATGGATTTCGCAGCAGCAGAGGATGAGTTGGGGGGTTTACGAAAATAGGGACCAAGAAAATAGACCCCCAAATAGTCGGAGCGCTTATGATGAGGACCCTGATGAGGTACCCTACTGTCGGAAACCCCCCATATGTGGGACGTGTGAAGACATGAAAAAGTTCTGGGGGAGGGGGGTTTCAAGCGGGGTAGGTACCCAGGGAGCCTTCGGGAAGCTTGGGGAGCCTTAGGGAGTAGTAGGGAGTATATTAGGGAACCTTGGGTCCTTGAACCCCCTCCTAAACCCTAAACCCTAAACCCTAAACCCTAAATAAAGGAAGTGTCAAGCGCATGGCCGACCTTGTCTAGTATTTTGGGGGGGTCGAAGTCTCTGAGCGCGTCGGCAGTTGTGGTCACCTAGCACGGTGCAGGCCTCCGGCACGTCTCAAGATTTGGTTCGCATTGGGAGTAGTACACTACCACCCACCGTAGCCCAAATATGAATCCAAATCCTCTCCCGATATAGGTATACCACAAGCCCAAGCACCAAATCCCCAAACAATCAAAGCTATGTTCATCCAATTTATCCCGAATCCTTGAGTTGCATAGGTTGTATGCAACGGCCTTACGTAGCAGTACACCCAATGCTGTTCAATGTGTGATTGCGGTTTCTCTGTGTAGGTACATGAAAAAACCAGCTAGGCCCTTGGGACATTTTACATTTTTCCTTTATTGGGTTTAAGAGGATGCAGTTTTTAGAATATTTTTCAGAGGGTCTTAAGGGCCCTCCTAGGGTCTAGGGTTCTAGGGTTTTAGAGTTTTAGAGTTTGAGGGTTTTGGTTTTAGTAGTTTAGTGTTTTAGGGTTGGGGGCCTTAATAGCCAGCCGGCAGGCTGCGTATGGCTTTACGCAAGACTGCGCCCGGGGGGCAGTGGGGCCGACAGACGACTATGCAGGCAGGGAGAAAGTGGGAGCTTTCCCTGGGATCCTATTTACCTGCAATTCTAGGGGGTGCACCTAATTAATAGGGTGTACTTAGGTGCTAATCTCATAGTTCTAGGTGGTTATACCCACGAAATTGGGGGGGGGGGCCGGGGGCACTTGCTAGTAATCCGTAGGTACATAGTCATTCAGTTGCCCTAGTTTGCAACTGCACGTCCGAGAAGGTCGATGCATGGTCAGTCATTGTCTTCTCCTTGTGAAACTTCGAAAGTATAGAGGTTTATGGTTTATGGTTTAGGGTTTTAGGGTTTTCTCCTTGTGAAACTTCGAAAGTATAGAGGTTTATGGTTTAGGGTTTAGGGTTTTAGGGTTTTCTCCTTGTGAAACTTCGAAAGTATAGAGGTTTATGGTTTAGGGTTTAGGGTTTAGGGTTTAGGGAACAGATCTCAGATCAGAAGCAGACTGCAGCTGCCCAGTGCACGGCAGCACAGCTTCGCTGCGAAAAGAGAAGTCAACGCGGACGTTTTAGGGGCTTTTTCGCAAGGCAGAGCGGTTGGCCCGTTTTTTTCAACCTATGGTGGCTACGACCATGAGGCTTAGAAAACAAGACCTTATAAGCTTTGAACTGTGCTAATCAGGCCAAACCTCAGCCCTCCTGGTCCCTCGCCAGCAATCTCTTTGTCCTGATAGGTGCTCAGTTCCACAACATCTTCGGCCGCGTGCTGTGCAGTCCATCCATCCACTCGAACCCTGAGGAGTCCGAAATGAAACTGTTATGTGGGGAGTTTTCGTCCTTCACAAGGTTATGCAGCCGAAAAGCATTGAAGCCGCATTGCTGGTCTGCAGCGGTATGCCCCATGCGTGCTGGACGTGTGTTGCGGCATGTTGCGACTGAACCTGCCACCAGTTCGAAGGCAGTGACTGATTTTTTTGTAGGCCGGAATGCTGCTGCACTGGGGTGACGTTTAGGGTTTAGGGTTTAGGGTTTAGGGCCATGTTGTAGTTTGCCTAAAGCCGGCCTTCCAGCCGAAATGGAGCCTGGAGCAATGTGTGCCTGGAACTGAGAGTATGACCTGTGAGGATTTCCAGGGTGAGGCTGCAGGTCTCAAGATCTTCGTGCAGACGCTACCCGGCCAAGGGAGAGGGAACTCAGGGTTGTCCAATGTTCCACCTTCGCTGCAGGGGGTTTTCGATTATTTTTCAAGCCCCAACTGCAGACCTCCGCACCAAAACGAAAGAGCCGGCGCAGGGTAGAGGGCAGGAGCTTCGAGAATTTCAAGAGCCCAAGAATTCGCCGAGAACGTGCCCAGATTTCAAGAGCACTCTACTTAAAGGGTTCTATATCCCTAAACCCTAAACCCCAAAAGCACGCGGCCCGGGGACGACAGCGACAGCAGTTCTGCACTTCACACGCATGGGCACGGGACCGAGTCGGGAGCATCATTGGGACACCACTTAAAATGCAAATCCACTGCGGTTTAGGGTTTAGGGTTTAGGGTGAAGGGTTTTTAAGGGTTTAGGGAGAAAATGTGAAAGGCCGGTGCGTCCCAGCCACGCTTTCCGCGACACGGAGCACTGCAAAAGCCTCACAAGAAATGTGCTCGCGGGACCCAGGAGGGAACGCAATCTTTCGCTAAACCCTAAACCCTAAACCCGAAACCCTAAACCCTAAACCCTAAACCCTAAACCCTAAACCCTAAACCGTTCCGGTAATCCGGTACCTTCAAAGTGTCTCGTGGCGGCTCCGTGGGTCATGCAACGGTTGAACTCCTCGATAGGGTGACTGCCGGACAAATCGAGCCCCTGAACTCCTTGAACGTTTGGAAGCTCTGGAACATACAGGCAAAGGGGATTTATACTAATAGGAATAATAATAGCAATAATTGTAAACGCTTGCGCGCGCCGCCTCGGCAGCCGGGCCGGCCCCAGGACAGGAAAGGAGGAAAGAGGGTTTCGCAAGGGAGGAAGGGCAGAGCAGGTGGGGTCGGGGGTGACGGGGGGGGGGGGGTGGGGGGGGGGTGGGGGGGGGGCGGTGGGGGGGGGGGGGGGTGGGGGGGGGGGGGGGGGTGGGGGGGGGGGGGGGGGGGGTGGGGGGGTGGGGGGGGGGGGGTGGGGGGGGGTGATGGGGGGGGTGATGGGGGGGGGGGGGGGGGGGGGTGGGGGGGGGGGGGGGCTGGGGGGGTGGGGGGGGGGGGGGTGGGGGGGGGGGGGGTGGGGGGGGGGGGGGGTGGGGGGGGGGTGGGGGGGCGTAAACCCTAAACCCTAAACCCTAAACCCTAAACCCCAAATGGCACAGCAAAAGCACACACGAAAGCCGGGGCTGAGCCGACCTTTGCCTTTCAGGATGCCAAGCTTGCTGAACTCGGACCGTTGCTTGCCAAGCATTCTGCCTGTTGTGGTTTTAGGGTTTAGGGTTTAGGGTTTAGGGTTTAGGGTTTAGGGTTTAGGGTTTAGGGTTTAGGGTTTAGGGTTTATAGTTTTTAGGGTTTAGGGTTTTACTCTATGACAGTCTTCCATGAGCTATCAGAGTATCCCTCTTGCTCACTTGTGTGTCCCTTTTTTTCTACTTGGAGCCGGAGGGATCCAGAGCTTACGTCTCATGTGGCAAGGCTTTAGGGTTGAGGGTTTAGGGTTTGGGTTTAGGGTGTAGGGTGTAGGGTTTAGGGTTTAGGGTTTAGGGTTGAGGGTTTAGGGTTTAGGGTAACAGGGCTTGGAGGCATTCGTTGCCTTGCCCGCCTCCCTACGCCCGCCCCCGTAGAAGTCGCTCAAAAATCAGGACTGGTCATCGCCAACTTGGTCCGATTGGCCCACAACTACTCCTGCGATCCGGGGCCACCCGACCTGTGTTGTACCGGGCTTTTGGTCCCACATTGACTTTGCGGGCATTCGGGGGCTTGCTTGTAGGAGAGGTGCTCGCTGCTTGCTCCAGGTTCTTTTTGGTTGCCTTCACTTGCCTGAAGTCTTGAACGGCGGTCTGTGTCAATGTTTGTTGAGCTGGGATGATGCAAATCTCCGTGTCTGATCGAAGCGCAGCAAATCAGCAAGGCTCTTCCTCTGCAAGGAGCCGCACTGGAACGGCGCATGGTCCGCCTGGCGCCAGCACATGGGCTCCTGGTCGGACGAGGGTTTTTCATTAATTGCTTAAGAACCCGAAATAGAAAAGCTTCTCCCTTACTAAGGGTAATGTAGGGAGTCTTATGTTTTTATTCTTTTGGGGTTCTTAAGCAAATAGAAGTTTTGGAACACGGGAATTCCGGATGTCTTGTGGCATGCTTGGTGCGTATGTGCCTGCTCCACACCTTTGCCGCCCCCCCCCCCCCCCCCCACACTCTCCCGCGCGCCTTCGATATCTAGTACTCTTTGAGGGTTTGGGGCATGCTGGGTCTCGGCCCCAGGGCTTCTAAGGCTTATAGTGTGGAACCCAAAGTTCCGTGTCGGTTTTATCCGTTCCTGGAGCAAATCCAGACACCGTGGAGTATAAGAGAGTTGTTAAAGAACAGGGGGATCCTCAATCCTTCATGTTCCAGTAGCTCTGCAGCAGCATAAAAACCAGTCAGACGTACCCCATCCCTGGAGACACGTCAGCCCTACACTCTGGACAGTTGCTGTTAGTTATTATAGAGGCTTAATTCCGAGATTCTGAAAAACTGCGGGTCTTTGGAGTTCCTGGCAGGGGAGTTCCGAATGCAAGGAGAAGTGGTGCTCCTGCAGAAGTTTCTGACCGCCCCGCCCGAAGTGTTCGTGGAGTCCGCAGATGATGCGGATTCCTGGCTGAACTCTAAACCCTAAACCCTAAACCCTAAACCCTAAACCCTAAACCCTAAACCCGGCTTCACGAGGATGCTGAAGGAGTCCCGTGCTCGAAGTTTACAAGATCCAAAAACCCTGCTTTTGGCAACTCAGGCTTTGCTTTTTTGAAGCTGATGCCTGAGGGGGGCTCTCCTGAAACTCATGTGGAGAACTCTGTTAGAAACTGCAAGCAGTGCTGTGTTCATGAAAGATACCTTGAATGTAGACTTCCCTCGAGCACTGACTTCAGAAAGTTTATGCTGCAATAATCTTGCAATCAATATCAATTACACAGAAACCTGAATCAGGATGTTTGAATTTGGTAAGGGTTCGCATGTTGGGGCCGCTTCTTCTTAGAGGGGATTTGGGGAAAACGTCACATGCAGTTTGGTTCACAGCAATTCTGTTCCTCGAATTATTGCTGTTTGCTGTGTTGAGGCTCCACGGGACAGAGGCTTGCTTTTTTGCAGTGCAGCATGACCGCCCAAACTCAACTCACATGCTGGTTCTACGGCTCACCATTGGTGAAGTTTGCAGATGTGGTCGAAGTTTGGCAGCAGAAGAGTTGCAAGTTTTTGTAGTTGGTCGTGCTACGATTATGCGAACAATGGCACGTTCAGGAAGCTGCAGTTTGAAATGAAACGGCACGAACCTTCTCAAAGACGACTCCCTTTCTACGACTCCCTTTCTGAAAAAGCACCAGCGAAGTCTCCACAAGTTGCTTTCTGCATGTGGAACAGGATGCCGATAGGGCTCTTTTCGAGGTGCAGCTTGCTCCACAGGACTCGGATGCGAATGTAAGATGCGTAAACACCCACTGCGCACTACTCAGCCAAGGCATATCTAGGCCTCGCGGCCCCGAAAGCTCAAAGTCCTGGAGCCCGCAAGTCCATCTGTCGGCCTTAAAGCCCGATGTGCTTTTCGAATTCGTTTACATTCAAGATTGGCAAAGTTCGAGGTCATGTTTGTTTGAGCATCGGTATCACGAGGGGAATGGCTACCTGAGGCAGGTAGCCATTCTTGCTAAATGGGGCACTGGCGCAGCAGTAGCTGTGGACGACCACCAGACAGGAAGATGAAATCCAGCCTTGGGGGTGCCCGTCAGGTCGGGGGCACGGGATCCTCCAACCCGAAACCCCGATTTTTGTCCGCTCTGGTATCCCGATCAATCCTGTGCTAAGGACATCATCTTGATCCCAACTTTGCCGGAAGCCCAGTGACGAGAAGAAGCTTAGAAACAGAGGGAAGGGACGATTGGTGATTGTCAACCCTTCTCAGTAATGCGTGCGAATGTTTGGGCACAGAGGCTTGAGCTGTAACATTGCCAGGATAGTTTTTGGCTTCCCAGATCTTCAGCACAGCACATGCCCAGGTTTTCGAGTCAGGGTCTAAATAGCGCTGCATCCTTGATCTACATCAAAGAGTACACTCAGATGACTTGTCAGTGCTGGGGGGGGCAGGCGGCAGGGGTCTGGAAATTCACAACCGCAGCGGAAGCCCGTATAGGCTGGATGCAGGGCAAGCCACGCAATTCTCGCGATCGCAGGCTTTAGCACCCGAGTCTGTCCCCGGGCTCACCGAGCTTGTAGAAGGCATGTAACAATGTAACCCCATGTCACACTCGTGGAGATGTCTTGCCTTTGCTCTCCGTGGTGGCTGCCCTGAAACTCCTTCTGTGTGATCTTGTTTGTGTGTTTGTTTGGGGCAAAGCTATGCGGGCTCAGGGTGGGTCAGGTTTAAGGATCCCCGTGCATGGCTCATGGAGCTCAGGTCACAGCTTGTGTCGAGCTGGTACATCTTCCGGCAGGCTGGAGCTCTCAGCCACCATGATGCTGAGTTATTTGGGTCAGAGCCAGAACAACGCAAGGTACAAAAACAACAGCAAACGAAGGGCAGCGACCGACGTGCTGAGCACGGGGAAATCACAAGAAACAAATGCCACATGCCACCTACCTCACTACTAATTGCTTAAGAAACCCCCCCAAAAAAAAAAAAAAATGTTATTCCTTATAAGGGTAATATAGGGAATGTGATTTCTTATTCTTCTGGGGTTCTTAACCAGTACCTCATCATACTTATCGAAGCTTCAGGTGCCTCAAAGCTGTCCGCGGCACATGCTCCAGCGTCTTTGCTGCACATGCCTGCCATTTGCGCCCCCCCTTTTTTATTGACAGAGCCCCAGGTTCTTGTTCCGAACTTTCTCCTGCTGAGGAAACTATAGGTTTGGGGTTTAGGGTTTAGGGTTTAGGGTTTAGGGTTTAGGGTTTAGGGTTTAGGGTTTAGGGTGTTCATGTTTGGGTGGTGTTTCTTGGCGTATGGGCAAAGTCAGTACTTAAGGCTTCTGGTGCCCAGCAGTGACCCGGGGCTTGGGCCCGAGACCTAAGCTCCAAACTTTAGGGTTCTGGGTTTAGGGTTTGGGGTTCGGGGTTTGGGGTTTAGGGTTTAGGGTTTAGGGTGTGAACCCTAGTTGTAGAAGCGTCTTTCGTTGCGGTCTCGTGGTGTTGCGCATGCCATGCTGCAGCAGTCATGAAGCAAGGGGGAAGCGCGTTATTGCAGAGGCGTCTCCTAATCTTCTGCTTTTTGAGGCCCCGGTTGTGGGCTCCGATGATACGAATGCTATCAAGCCCAGGTGCAGACGTTTTGGATTTCAGGCTTTTGGGGCTGAGAGGCCCAACAAAAGGAGTCGAAGAATGACTGCAGGAAGCTTAGCTTGATCCTGGGGCTCCATACTAAACCGAGCGCAACGTTACAAGCACCTGCAGCACCACAGCTGCAACCAAGGCCTTCTTAGCTGATATCTTCACGGCACCACAAGCCTTCAAAGCCTGCAGCCCTCGGTTGCTAAGTTGGCTGAAGCATCTTGAAAGCAAGCGTGCCGCGCACGTGTTCCTCTTCGCGGACCACTTGTGCCGTTGCGGCATCGTTCTATGTTGGGCTGTTGATTGAGGAGGTCTGCGGTTGTAATTCAGCGTAATTCAGTGTAAGCGCCGACGCCGACCTGGAGTTCAGGATGGGTTTGAGGTTGGGAGGTCATGGGCATTTGGGTTTTTTCGGCTATGTTTGGGCCTTGAGAGGTTTAAGGGCTTCAGGGTTTAGGGTTTAGGGTTCAGGGTTTCGGGTTTCGGGTTTCGTTTAAGGGTTCCCAAGGCCTGCCTGGCTTGCAGATCCCAAGTGGACGGGGTGGCCGGGAAGGGGGAAAGTATGCCGATGCAAACCTCAGACCTTCGACCAAGGTGAAGAGTTATCCCTCTAGAATTGTAGCATAAGAGCCCCAAAACCAGACTTTAATTATTAGGTCCCCTAGATTAGAGCGGGCATATCTACAGCAAAACTACGTCACTACATTCAAGGCCTACAGGTGCAAATTGGAAGCTTGCAATTGGAGCTTTGGGCCATCATTTGACGGGGTGGTTCAGGGATTGATCGGGCCCTTGCGGGTTTGTCTTCTGTTTAGACCGGGGGGAGGGGTGGAAGCGAAAACTAGAAATTTGCAGACGGTTCCTGGAAGCTGCGAATAATAGGCTTGCTTCGAACATGCTTCTGCAGTTGTAAGTGAACGTTCTGTGAAGTATAGCAAGTTGTGAAGTGTGCATCCTGGTCACAAGGCCTGCGTTCTGTACTACAACCCAAAATCGTGAGTATGATCACCCTGTACCCTAAGCCTAAACCCTAAACCCTAAACCCGCGAGCCTCGACCGTTGAATTTAGAGAGCACATGCAGCGCCTCGTGGCCCAAGGATCAGCCTGAGGCCAGGCACGTCACAGCGATTCTGGACCAGGGCTTAGGGTTTAGGGGTTTAGGGTTCAGGGTTGTATGTCCGCCGAAATCGGCATCCTTTCGTCAAATCAAGACCAAAGGGGGGCCGCTGGGCCATCCCCCCAATCCGAATGTCACAGCACAAGCCCTAGAACTAGGCCCGACATGTGGCAACATCTTCTGCGGCCATCTTTATAAGACCTTTCTAAGGGAAGCAGTCGTTAGCTGAGACCTTCAAGGGAAAGGTCCTGAGTTGATGTCAAGTTGATATCTGCGCTACTTCACATGCACTGGGAACCTTGGGTTTTTGCTGAGAGTGTGGGTCGGCAGATGCTCATCAGCTTTGAGAAGTACAAGGTCCCATTGGGGGTTTAGAGTTTAGGGTTAGGGTTTAGGGTTTAGAGTTCAGGATTTAGGGTCTAGGGTGTAGGGTTTAGAGTTCAGGATTTAGGGTCTAGGGTTTAGGGTTTAGGTCAAGAAATTGAACCTCCCTTTTTCTTTTCATTGGTGTGTGAAGGCATCTGCATGATGTGAGTCTTTTGACATTTGGGACTGCCCGCATTACCCCTACGCTCTTGTCGACTTCTGCATCTGTACTTATGCAAGAACACCGACAAAGCTTCAAACCCTGCAAGCAGCTACGTAAACCCAAACCGTACAAACATCTTCAAACCCAAGACCCTACTGAAAGCCAAAACCCCCTGCAGGCAGAATGACATGGGCGGGCTGACCCTTCTCCAAAAGTTCTGGGAATGGGTTTGGGTGCCGGGTTCTTCAGTAGTACTGAGTAGGAGTCGTTAGCGTTCTGCCTAGTCAAACGTCAAGGTTGAGATGGCAGGAGTGGTGTTTGAGCTAGCCCTAAACCCTAAGCCCTGAACCCTGAACCCTGAACCCTGAACCCTAAGGCACCTTAGCAATTGTCTTTTCAAACTCAGGTCTGTAGTCGGAAGCGGTTTAACAACCATTGGATCGGGGGACCTACGAACTGAGGCCGGCATCTATACCCCACGAGTCTAAACTGGCTCAGCTATAGAGGTTTGCAAGGATTTCTTGCCTCCTGATGCATGAAGCACAGGGACAGCGAAACCTGACTTTAGAAGAGGAAGCGGCCTATGCCGAAGGCCGCAAGTCTCAAAACCCCCAAGGGGCCCTGCGCCATCCTTCAAGAAAGAACCAGTACTGAACGCACAGAAGGAAACGGAAGACAATGTGCACAGAATCCCTAAACCCTAAACCCTAAACCCTAAACCCTAAACCCTAAACCCTAAACCCTAAACCCTAAACCCTAAACCCTAAACCCTAAACCCTAAACCGAGGAACTGCATGCCAGCACTTCGCCCAGCGGCCCGGTCTCTGCAGATTCGAACTTTTTTTTGGGGCTCGGGTACTAGGGTTCAGGGTTTGGGGTTTAGGGTTTCGGGCTCAGGGCGAATTTTTTCCAGTAATGTAGTTGTTCGCAAGGCATGGGGGCGAGGAGGACCTCCCCCGGATCCTGATCCTAAGGAGGTATCAGTATACGTGCACCGTGTTGTGCCGCTTCTGCTTCTTGATTCTCCGGACTCCGGACTCCGGACCATCCCCCCCCCCCAAAGCAAAGCTCTGTGGGACTTTAGTGTATAGATTCGCTTCATGCTCGATACACCACTCATACCACAACTCCCATAAGACCCCCAAAGGCCCCCCGAATCCTTGACTAATGCCTGCATAGAGACCTCCATGGGTCCCTTCTGGAGTCAACCCGTTCCAGCGGCTGATTTTGACACTTTTTCGTTTCAGCCCTTAAGGACAACATCTTCATCTCGCATGGCACTGAGAGGATGTCACCAGCTCATATAGCAATGCCGGAGTCTCAGGCACAACCTCCTAGAGGTGGATGAAGCGGGGTTGGGGTGTTTGGCGGCTGGGTGGGGGGGGAGTGCTCCTAAGTCAGTGGCCGAAACGGCGCGATCTTCTGCTCGAAGTGTTGTCAAGCTGCGCACTGTGTCGGCTAGGCAGCTCTGTGATGTGAGACCTCGCGCAACGTGCCCCTCACAGAGTGTAATTGTCTTGGGGGTCGTTTGCTGGCAGAGGGTTGTTGGCGGTTCCAGTCTTCCAGGGTTTTGACAGCAAGCCCCCGAGTCTCTGCGACATGACGTCGCCAGGTGCCGCGGGTTCAGTGGAGCTCCACATGAAAGAATCGCATTCCCACACGATTGAAGATGCAGCCCCTGCTAGGATCCGAACCACGTCAGAACCCAACGACACGTGTCTACGTACTCGTACTACGTAGTCCCACATGATGTTGGCCCCGAGTGCTTTGTGGCCAAAGGCCCTCGATTGTGGCAGAACCGGAGCTTCAACCATCGGTTATCCTTCCTGCGGACGAGAACCGCGACGTTTTCCTCTTCTATGGTGACCCCGTGGCTGCACTCTGCATGGGGATGGAAGGCTCCGGGCAAGGGTCCCCACCACAGGGCGGGAAGGGGGGAGATCTTCAACAAGTATAAGTTCCAGCCAGAAGCCATTTTCAATAATAATAAGAATACTAATATATTATTACTATTATTATAATTTTTTGTTATTATATATGAACCTAAACCTCGTCCCTTTCTACCCAAACCGCTACTCCATGATCCCTTGTTTTCTCCGGACCCTGGGCTCTCCAGCTCCCTGACTTCCGGCATCCCTTGCCGATGTTTCGAGGACTTCGGGAATAGGAAAAATGCATCTCGGCCTAAACCCTAAACCCTCAACCCTCAACCCTCAACCCTCAACCCTAAACCCTAAACCCTAAACCCTAAACCCTAAACCCTAAACCCTAAACCCTAAACCCTAAACCCTAACTAAATCACATGATTCCTGCTTGCATCCATCCCCCATCGACTTCTCTGAAGCACGGTGAAGGATTGCTGAAGGTCCGAACATGACAACTCCCTGATCCCCCCCCGAAGAGGGTTTTAAAGCGTCCTGAGGAGACGACCGACTGCTGTCATCCTGTACGACAGCACTTCTACGTGCCTCAGCCTGGAAGCTACTAAGTGCTTAAGAAAGCCGAAAAGTAAAAAAAAACATATTTTTCCTTATTAAGGGTAATATAGGGATTATCATATTTCATTCTTCTGGGCTTCTTAAGCAAATAGCAGGAATAGAGTGAGGAGAATGTCACGGTCGAAGGCTAAAGGCTTTGGAGGAGTTGGTGCCTTGGGAGTCGGTGGCCTGCGCTTCAAGCCTTGAGAAAAACCGAACCCTACCAGGATGGGTTGTTAGGCCTTAGAATCCCCATAATGAACCCTATAACGGGCCTTTAAAGGTATTCTAGGGTGTAATCGCCCGTCCTGGAAAGCGACCATGTGAAAGTACACCCTTACCCTCGGAGTTCGCCTTGGAAACCCCGAAGTCCTACAGCCCTAAGTATGGTTTGTTCAGAGCCCTCAATCACAAACTTTCGATAGACCCTAAACCCTAAACCCTAAACCCTAAACCCTAAACCCTAAACCCTACTGCCCTCCTAGAAGCCTGAAGACTCTGGTCCGCACACGCTTGTTTGCCCAGGATGTTCTGACCAGCGATCAGGGAGTGTCACTTTGCGGCCCCACGTGCCTTCGCTGTTGGCCACTTGAGTTCGGGGCAGCACGTACTGGTATTCAAAAAAAGCTCAGGTGCGCAGCACGCATTGTAATTATAAGGTTAAGGCCATGTGCTGAGGTTTGGGGCGCCGCTATTCTTGCCAAGTGGCATGATGTTGAGGTTGTTGTCCAGCCTGTCCTTAAGAGTTCTTCATGTAGTTGGTAGTTTTGAGTTTGGGGTGAGCCCGCCCCAATCAAGAAACATGACCGGCTTCGAAAATGGTTGTTGTATACATACTTCGCACCGAAAACATAGCTTCCAATACCAGGATGGCCTAAGTGTGCTGGAGGTGCCCCAACTTCAAGGGTTTGGCAGCCATGGTTTTCAATTCTGATGCCGCTTGGGGATCACTCCATGGGGTAAGGCTTTGTGTCTAAAGTTCGGGGAAGCCCCCCCCCCCCGCCCCCGCCACAAACCACAAACACCAGTTGCCCTGCCAAAACTTGATGCAACAGAGCAATCTAGGATGCTTTGTAGGTGCATCGTGGAGAAGCGGTGGCGAGAGCCGCCCCACCGTGGCGTTGCCTTCTGGCAGAGTATAGCTATGGGGTTTTGGCGCTTTCCGTGTGATTGCAGGTTTGAGATGCTTGGTGGTTGAAAGACGGTACTGCTCTTTTGGTTGGTCTGCTCAGCACATCGCGTAGCGAGTCGCGACCCTGCCGTTTGATTTCTTTGGAGCCACGGTTTGGGATGCTTGGGCTTATCTTTCTGACTTTGGCTTGAGACAAAGATGCTGCAGCAACCTCTGCTGCAACCCCAGTACTAGCAGGGGTTTGCCACCAAGGAGATGTCCAAGAAGACGCACGGCTCATCTTCTGGTGTTACCTATCTGCATGGATGCAAGACTGAGGGTGAGGATGGAACCTTTCGTTCCTTGCAGGTCTTCGTCGTCCGCTGGCGTGCATGTGGATGGGGCTAGCTGTTTTGTACTGTAGACATGTCGTGATCTTGATTGTGTGCTGGTGCTACCCTATGCTTAGCCACACAATTGCAGCTCATGGGAGCCGAGACCTTCCGCTGAGAATATTAAGAAAAGCCGAGGGGGAGGTAGAGTCGAGTCGGGTGCGCTGACGCTTCCAATTTTCAGAGCAGAGGAAGAAGAAGAGACGAGCATGATGAAGATGCCGATGATGAAGGAGAGAAAGTGCGAGCGAGTGAGAGAGCGTAAGAAGACGAAGAGTGAGTGTGCGCACATGAGTTCGCAGCCTGACACCAGGCAATCTACAGGTAAGTAGCGCAGCTGCCCACATGGCAAACATGGCATTCTTGCGCTCAACTTTGGGAACCACCCTCAGCCCTAAACTTCACGACCACTCCTTGCACCCACTCAAAACTCACCCAGCGCCACATCCCTCAGGGTGCCATCGACTTGATACAAGTGATGCAACAGACGATCTTCTGCCCAATGGGGCCTGGAGATGTGCCGCACCGGTGCCCTGGCGGATTCGGGAGGGTGCTGGGATTCAGGGCTGATGGAGGATATGGTTGAGATTCCAGGGTCTCACGCCTTGCGGTTTGACGTAGAAGTTGTTTCCTTCAAGTGGATCAGTGTATTTCGTACAGACGTCGGTCACGTGTTCTACGCGCCGTGAAAGTTTCGAGGGTCCATGGTGTTTATTTCTGCAGGCAGGTCAGGTGCTCTGCGCATTCTGCCGGCTCAGGCACAAATTCTATCAAGCGACTCGACAGCATTGTGTATTGAAGCCTGAAAACTTGAAAGGGTGACTTTCAAGCGACCTTGGAAGCTTTCAGATTGAGTAGGGTGCGAAGGGCCTTTTAGTACATCATCACAATAGAATTAAGTCAGATTTCTCTGTTTAACTCTGCCATACCAGGTCACTGCCAAGCCCTCTTTACTTGCGGATGTGTTTTTGTCTGATACTCATTGCTTTCTGAGGCAGCGGATGCAGTGTGAGCCTAGTCCTGCCTCCGAGGATTTTGGGGGAGTTCAGTTCCTACTTGTAGCAGGCCCTCTAGCGACTCCAGCGCAGCTTCGTTTGAAACTGAAGTCGGCTGCAGTCGCATGCAGAACAAGTCACAGCTACCGGTTTTTTTTCCCAAAAGGCCCTTAACATGGCATGCCACGAGCTGAAGACTGAAGACCCCACCAATCCCGCCTCAAGTGCTACTCTTGCACCTGGCCTTGACACACTCCCTTGCAGCCGCTCTAACTCCTGGGCTCTCATGCTGCCCGATATGTAGCCCTAAACCCTAAACCCCTAAACCCCTAAACCCCTAAACCCCTAAACCCCTAAACCCTCCCTACACCTGGGTCTCGGGGCCACGACCCTCGTCGGACTGCTCAGGCGTTTCTTGCAGGCTGTATCCCTGTCCTGTTCGACTTTCCCTCCTACTTCCCGGGACAGAGGCCGGCGAAGCGAACCATGTTGTTGTGGAGTTCCAGGATGGGCTATTAGGCCTTAGAATCCCCATAATGAGCCCTGTAAGGGGCCTTTAAAGGTATTCTAGGGTATAATCGCCCATCCTGGTTGAGAGGTCTCGGAGTTGGCGTGAAAAGAACACTCTTTTCATATAAGTGCCTGGTGCGGACCTGGCCAACGAAATCTTTGTTTTTTTTCTTTCAGGGGTCCGAACTCTCCGTTCGGCTCCTAAACTGAATGGGTTGAAGCCCTTGCCAAAAATGCCCCTACAGGCCACCTTCTATTTCCTAGTTGAGGCTTCGGCTGAGTGTTTCTTACGCCCTAGACTCCAAACCCCAAACCATGCATACTGCATGCCCCATGCCATGAAGGTGTCCTGATAGTAGCAGACTCGTCAGTCGGCACTACGACTGATTCCAAACAGTTTCTAATTGTGCATAAGTTTGTTATTTCTGGCACCCCTTCGCGCCGTCTGGGGCGGTCCACGCACTCAACCAATTCCCTTTTGGGGTTACAAGCTCAGAAGGAAGAAAGCCTGCTTTTGTCTCGGGGAATTGAGGACTGTGCTCACCATCTACTCCAAGATTCGAAGCCTCAAGCCTGTCTGCAAAAGGCACCAAGTGTGGACATACCCAAGACGGCAGAACAGGAAGCTTCAAACCCTGAGCCCTAGACCCTCATCAAGGAAGTGTGGCTTTCGCCAGGGCTTGGATGTCTACTATATATGTATATATATATATATACACTTATAATCTCGTTTGATTTTCATGGACACTCTTGCACAGGAGCTGGTGGAAGGAGTACGGGTCGCCTTTCCTGCTCTCCGTGCCCTTCCCCGAGGACAGGTTGCTGTGCGCTCGCGAGAGGTCGCAGGCTGTCGCCGAGGCGCAGCGATTCACATCGCGCTCAGGTCTGGGCACCTGCAACCACGAGGCTTTGACGTCGTCCGACCTGACAAATCGCGCAATCACGTTTTCGTCCTGCATGCATACCGTGGTCGAATTCACATGTCCGCCTCGGTTCCGAATCGATCTGTGTCGCGACGGTAATGCGGAGCTTTGCAACTGGCCTGTCAACTATTCAAGGATCTTGAGTATCGAGTCCGGCCGGAGCGTTGTATAACGATTGATACAAATGAGGGTTCCTGCGTCTGCAAAGACATTGCATGCTGTCCTGGATGCTAGAGTTTGTTCAGCTGTACATGGCCGAAGCAATGTTGCAATATGATGCGCTCGAAGCCTAGCTCTAGGGTGGGGCAGCTTTTTTGGATTCACTCGGAGAGGCATAGCTAGCTGCTTGTGCAACACGTGGTCGTCTCCTCCTCTTGGGGTCATTCTCTCCATGATGGTCGTTAAAGCGAACGTAACGCGAGTAGTGTTCTGCACAAGCCCACCGCTCTGGAGCATCTTGTGCTCGCGTGACGCCGGGGCCACCGGTTCCACTTGCTGGGCACCCGAACCTTGCACAAAGCCATGCAGCCCTAAGACTCAAACCCGAAACCCTAAACCCTAAACCTGGTGTACAGCCGTGCTCCCCACAGCAATTCAATTCTAGACTAGATCAAAGAACATCCTGCAACAGTTCCTTGGCAGATCGTTTTGCAAATCTTCTGCACAGTCTCCTAAACGTCGCATGCTTCGTCTTCTGTGGTGGAGTTTAGTGTTTAGGGTTTGGGTCTGGGTTTAGGGTGGTGCCCTTTGCCGTAGGACATCCCCTACAATGACATCGTCGCGGGTCCTGGACCAGCTTTTTTTTGGGTTTTTTCAATGTTAAGCAATCGGTAGCTCGGGCTGTGCTGATCTGGGATGACGGCATGTATGTTAAAGGATCGACTCCGGATTAAGGTTTCCCCCACCTTTGACAATGTCTTGTTGCTTCTTGGTGTCTTACCAGTCCCTCGCGCGTAGCTACAGCATGTCCCTGAAGTTGATCCAAGACAGGTGGTGCAACAAAATCACCCAGGACAATCGGGGTAAGAGACGTATCTGGGATTTCGAGCGTGGCAACGAGCATGCATCCATTGAAGGCATAATGCGCGTGGTTGAGGCATGATCTTTTTTTCTCTCCAAGCATCCTTGCCATTCTCTTCCAGAGCGTTCCTGTCTCTTTCTTTTGCGGTGAGGTGCTAGTGAACTAATGCCGAGTAGGGAGGTATAGGTTTAAGTCAGCTTCTGATAAGGATGTGGCCCGGAATTGTGCGCTCGCCTGCTCTTACAGAGCCCATGCTGTGCCCCCCCCACTCCCCACATTGCCCGACTTGTGGTATGGGAGCCTCTGAATGACCTAAAGAACCTTCGGCCGTAGACTTTGACCACGGCACCCAGGGCAGCCAGATTCCCAAAAGCCTGATTCCTCACAAGCCAGATGTGCAAGAACCCAGGTGGTGATCATTCCGTGCACGGAGAACTACACGCAGTCTGCCATCAACATGCTCCTCAAGCTGCGGGCCATGCCTGTGCAGGAGCTCGGGGTTCAAAAGGTGCAGGACAGCCTCTGAGATCTCCGGAGACACCTTTTCAATGCTAGAAGTTTAGGGTTTAGGGTGTAAAAGGGTTTAGGGTTTAGGGTTTATAAGGCTTCAGGGTTTAGGGTTTAGGGTTTTAGGGTTTTAGGGTTTTAGGGTTTTAGGGTTTTAGGGTTTAGGGTTTCAAGACTTGAAGCCGCTCTCTTCCCCGCCCCACGTGATGTCCCTTGAGGACATCTCACGGAGGCAACGTCTGCTTCGAGACTATCGGCACTTCTTGGGCTACCAGTGGGATGGGTCGCGGCCGGATGCCTTCACCGCACCTCTGCCAGCACAGTCCTGGTGGGCTTAGGGTTTAGGGTTTAGGGTTTAGGGTTTAGGGTTTAGGGTTTAGGGTATAGAGAGATGCTTTGGGGGTTCTGGAGGGAAGCCGAAGCTCGCTGTCTGAAGCCGAAGCCCGAACTTGTGCCCACGTCTCTCAGTGTGGGCGTGTGCAACCCTAAACCCTAAACCCTAAACCCTAAACCCTAAACCCTAAACCCTAAACCCTAAACCCTAAACCTAAACCCTAAACCGTGTCCTTGTGCCAAGCAGAACCAGAGGTTGTAGAGCAAGGGGCGAAGGAGTACCTTGGGGACCAAATGAACCCTAAAATTGGGGTCATATACCCATTACTACTATAATTCCTATTCAGGGACCAAATGAACCCTAAAATTGGGGTCATATATACCCATTACTACTATAATTCCTATTCAGGTATATGAACCATAAACCCTTTTAGGGTTCATTTCGTCCCCAAGGTAGGGTAGGGCTTCGGCAGCGCAGGCCCGACAAGGGTTTTAGGGTTTCCGCGGAGGACCTGCGCAGTTTAGTTAGGGCTTAGGGCTTAGGGTTTAGGGTTTTAGGGTTTAGGGTTTAGGGTTTTAGGGTTTAGGGTTTAGGGTTTAGGGTTTAGGGTTTAGGGTGTCAAAAGACACGAAGGGTCCATAAACAGTCCTTCAAAACCATCCATGAAGGGTCAAAGTCCACTTTAACGGGGCTTGCAATCGCGCCATACACGGGTCCTCAAAACCAACTGTTTGGCCGGAGCTCTGTGGGACTGGCCTGGAAACCAGGAACTAAATGCGGAACACTATATTTCAACGACTGTTACCAGTAACATGTTAAGATGCCACAGAAACAACACCCCGACGCGCCCGACAAAGTGTCACGCTAAGAGGGCCACTTTCCCTTGAGGCTCCAATCAACATTCGACGAGGGTCATCAGGATGACGTCGTCGACTGTTGACGCTATTGAGGAAATCATGACAGACGACAAATCCGAAGATCGGGACACCGACGTGAACGATGTCATCCCGATTCCCAAGTAAAACAGGAGCCCTTCGTTACATAGACGCATTCAGAAAACTATGCAGTCATACAAAACCAAAAAGGCACAGGGGTATAAGGAAATGCTATGCTTCCTGCAATGCGAACCCTGCAAACCTAGACGTACTGCCAGATTACGATGAAATCACCGTTGCTGTGAACCCGAAATCACTCGGGCCGCACAAATTCTTGGACTGGAGAGGCGATCATGCAGCGCATCGGCCGCTTCGTCCGGCGCCGTCCGCAGCTGCGCTGAAGAGCCACCAGGAGCTAGGGCTGAGTCAAAGTTTCAGAATATATTTGTGGTTTCTTGAAGACGGGCTTCAATTGGTTCTCAGGAGGAGCATACCGTAGGAGCTGCTCTAATCAATATGTCATTCTAAACGCTTGCATGCGCCGCCTCGGCAGCCGGCCAAATGTGGAGCATCGCAGAGGAAGTTAAGCCAAAGGCATATGTCACTTGGTGCAGGCTAGGAGGGGTCAGGGGCACGGCCTGACACTTTGTCAAACGTGCTATGGCCCGATGAGGTCTATATTATGAGGAAGCCAGGTGAGGTGTGAGGAGGGGCTCCCAGTTTTGCGGCCTTTGTGGAGGGGCCGCTGATTGCAGCTCCACCAAGCATGGGCGACACATTTTGGGCTGGGTCGGGGGGAAGGTCTGCTTGTTCCAGACGCCTCTCCACCGGGAGCCGAGCGTTGCAGGGGAAAAGAAAGGCCTTGAGCTGCTTCGTTGCACAACTCATAAAATACAGTAGGTGTTCGATTTGACTCCATGGCCCCTTGCTGGCTTTGTCACGGCCTGAGTCAGAGAGCTTCATGAACTAAAGCATGCAAGCCTTTTGCATCTGGAAGGAGTCGACTGCTGGAGTTCCGCCCTGGATAGCAGACCTTCGGTGCCTGGAAGGACTGGTTTTTTTCCTTGGAAAGCGACAGGGGCCCGCCCTAGAGTTCTACTGTCCGGCTCTGGTTGGTCTGCATCTGCATAAGCACGTTGCACTCATGTTCAACGGACACAAGTTTTTGTCAGCTGCTCATGTTCTGCCCCTCCCCCTCCTGGAAAGCAGCCACCAAAGCTCCTTTTGAGCCCTATATACTTCCTATATACATCCCTTGGGGACGAAAATGAACCCTAAAAGGGTTTATGGTGCATATACCTTAATGGGAATTATAGTAGTAATGGGTATATGACCCCAATTTTAGGGTTCATTTGGTCCCCAAGGGCTTCCTATATACATCCTCAAACATTCATGCCGGGCGGGACGGGCACAACAGCGCCATCCGGGAAGGCCTGCAGGCACAGCCGCTCAGGGTTCAAGAAGCCTCTGGGATCTACCGTACCATGTGTGTGACGACTTGGCAAGATCTGAATTTTAAATGTTGTGTGTCCTAACACCCCTTTCATTTACATGTTGTACGCTTTGGAAAGCTCATCAGACATAAAGCATATGCAGATAGCCGCTTTTCCACTAAGTTCAGGACGAGCTTGACGAGGTGTTGCAAGACTTGCAAGCAAACCAGGCTTGCTGCGTCAGCAGCCCGGGTCACAATCCAGGGCCATGGGGGGCGGGGGGGTGTGCGTGTTCAACCGTAGCGCGCTTCTGCTTCTGGCTGCAGTCCGTTGCAGTCCATGGAAGAATGTCCCCGTTCACTCAGTGGACCCTAAACCCTAACCCTAAACCGTATAGACCCTAAACCCTAGACCCTAAACCCTAAACCCTAAACCCCATAAACCCTGTAAACCCTGTAAACCCTTTAAACCCTACACCCAACCCTAGGCAAACGAAGCGCTTCGAGCCTTCGATGCACTCCGCGCTGAACGGCTCCAAATGACGCCAATGGACTCCTCAAGGTGCAGCAGGATGCAGATCGGGAGGGAGGGAGATAGGGTTTAGGGTTTAGGGTTTAGGGTTTAGGGTTGGGGGTTTAGGGTTGGGGGTTTAGGGTTTAGGGTTTTAGGGTTTTAGGGTTTATGGTTTAGGGTTTAGGGCTTAGGGTAGGGAAATCAAAGGGATCCGGTGGATGATCTGGGTATATCTGGGTGCTGGCACTCGCAAAGCTCTGATTGAAGCTTTCACCCCGCGAACTGTGGTTTCACATGCGGCGGGTTGGCTGTTCATTGTTCATGTCTGTCTTACGTCGAAACCACCCTAAACCCTAAACCCTAAACCCTAAACCCTAAACCTTGACATCTTGAGAGCATGCCCCCAGATGTGGATGTGGATTGTCGGCTTAGCGGCTTAGCGGTCTGCGGAGCCTTGCTTCTGCAGAGCTTCCGGCTGTTAGCTCTCGCACGCCTGAGACTTGTGTTTCAGGGTTTAGGGTTTAGGGTTTCAGTCCAAAGACTTATAAGCCATGGATACTTCAATGCTGCAAGGAGGCCGAGCAGCTCGTGCCCGGTCAGCATGGTCCCTGATGCTTGTAAGACGTAGTGCGTTTGCACGATTGGGTTACAGTGAGCGTCTCCTCACAAGGTCGGGTTAAGGGCAGGACACGGACTTGGTCACACCTACGAGCTCGGCGGTGGCGGCCAAAGGATGTGCGTAGGGCATGGCTTTTGCATTGAGGCTTATGAAGAATTACAAGAGGTGCTAGTAGTCCTCTATTTGGTCTTTCAGGTTGTGATGTGATGTTGATTCAGAGCCTAGGTGTCTCTGAATGAAGGTGTGTTTTGTCGTCCTCCAGGGACAGGGATTTTGCAGGCGAGAAGGTCTAAATGAGCCGGTAGCTTCGCAGCGGGAGCAGCCACAGACGCCGTGCTCACTTTGCTGGGTTGTGACCCATGGAAACGGGGCTTCCTTCATCATTTACTGCAAACGACGGAGGGTTTACTGTAGTGCTTTCATGATCCGTGAAGGGTTTAACCTGAACCCTAAACCCTAAACCGGTAACCTGGCACTCCTAGAATTTCCAGAGGCCTTGTGGATGAGGAGATGGTGCTAGGCCCTGTAACCGGAAGCTCCGCCCCCAAGTTTCCATGTGCCGTTCTCTGGCGGAGCAGCCACCGCAATGCTCAAGAGGCCCTTGAAGACTGAGAATCCAGCATCCCCCCTCCGCCCCCCTCTCAGAAGTGAGCTTCCCCGCGCCGCAATAAGCACAGGTCATCATGGAACTCTTCCCAAAGTCACAAATCCTGAAACTTAAATGCATGTCCTCGCGACGCATGGCGCCCAATGTGCTCCGGGCATGCAGGCTGGGGGCCTTGCAGGCTTGAAAGGACCTTGGGGACCAAATAAACCCCAAAATTGGGGTCATATACCCATTACTACTATAATTCCTATTAAGGTATATGAACCATAATCCCCAAAGGATGGCGCGGCTTATAAGCTCAGAAGAGGCCAGGTCCTACTGTAGGAGTTCCTGTGGCCACGAGGGACTCCGAGAAAACTTGCCATGAGCCCAGCATGAGCCCTCCCCCCGGACCGGAACGCGGTCACAAGAATCATGAAATTTTCATGAAATGACACGAAATCACGAGAATTCATGACACCGCGCTGCGACGCGCCGTTTGCCTTCACGATGATGAAGCATGTCCCACCACTGGAGGTTTGGAAGCTCCACGCTGGGGGAAGGTACGCAGAGGCTCCTGAAGTGCCACGCAGCAGGGGACCCCAGGGGGAGCTCTTGACTAGGGGGAGAGGCTGGGTAGCCCCGTGCCCTTTTTTGGTTCAAAATTTCCCTTATAAAGTAACCAACCCAAAAAGGGTGCCCCTATTACAGTATGGTTTCTGGGCTAGCAAGGAGGAATAGTAGAACCAGACCAGCAGTCAAGCAATGCGTCGGACTTTGAGTACTAGGTTTCTGGGCTAGGCTTTGGTCTGTGTTCATTTAGCTTTCAAGTGAGGGGTAGCAAGGTGTTCTGCTGGAGGTTGTAAAATTTCGGTTGAAGAGATACGCTACCCCTGAACCCCGAAGTGCCCAGAAGCCCAGTTTTGCAGCTGTGGGTGGGCCTCCCTTGGGGACCAAATGAACCCTAAAATCGGGGTCATATACCCTACACTACTAATAATTCCTGTTAAGGTAGATGAGCCATAAACCCCTTCAGGGTTCATTTCGTCCCCAGGGTCATCAAGCACTCCAATCCGCCATCAGTGTAAGGCCGACAGCGCTTGGAACTCTCAAACCTATCCGCCAAGCTTTCTTTCCTGAAGCTTCGACCAAGTTTAGGCCCTGATGCATGCTAACTTTTAGGGTTTAGGGTTTAGGGTTTAGGGTTTAGGGTTTAGGGTTTAGGGTTTAGGGATCCTTTGGAGGGCCGGGGCATGGTTTTGGGATGTTTTGGGGGGCAGAAGGCTTGCAAGTAGGTCTTCTCAGACTTCCCGGGCAGCTCTAAGGCCGATTGCCGCAGGATGTCAAGGCAGAGGCTCATCATGCTTATCTATATCCCCTTTGGGAATTACTTTTGTTTTTGTTCATTTAAAACCCAAGAGGATACTGGAGTATATTTGTTTTAAAGGTTCTAAGGGGAGTATAGGCTGATTGGTCACGTCTCCTCATGGAAACTCCTCGTGGCTCCTCGATATGCTCTGAATTCGCCTTGCGGTGCTCACTCACATCTTGCATCACATGTCTAGATACTGCGTTGATATAGTCACAAGAGTTCACCACGTTGCTTTCTTTTGCGATGTCCAAGGCAAAGGCAGCGCTGGTCATGCAACATGAATTGGCTATGGTTCGCTGCTCAATCCCTTCTCGAGGCTTACAGCGCAAGTTATCCACGCAGTGCCAAACTTCCACTGTACATGATAAGAGAACTGCAGCAAGTACAAAAGCACATCGGGTCGAGCGATTGAGACAGAGAGGGAGGAAGAGAAAAAGAGAGAGAGCGAGAGTATGCATGGACTATCATAGATTCAGTCGGCGAAGGGGCGCAAGCACACCAGCATTTCACGGCTTGAGTCTGCATCCTGAACACCACAACCTTGCTCTTAAATCTCTGTGCCTTAAGACGGTCAGATCCATGCCAAGCTCGGTGCGGAGGTGTCAATTCTGGGCTCAGGATAGTTCAGGCTGCCCCGCCCCGCCACCCCTCCACTCCCTACTCCCCCCCACTTCCGACTCCCCCCCCACTTCCCCCGCTAGTGGCAAGAAGCCATGACAGCAGCGCCTAATGAGCCCACGGCTCTTGCGGAAGGGGAGGAGCAAGATGCGCCTCAACTGCAAACTTTGCGAAGTAGGGAGCCCCGAAGCCTCGAATCGACATGACTTCTACAGCGATGCAGAGTCAAGAAAGCACCGATCATGAAGGGGTGCGTGTCC